TTTCCTGTATGCCCCCTGTGCTCCTGCGACACACAGCCTCCCCCACCCAACACGCTGTACCACAGTCGTGCATTTGTTGCAGCTGACGAAGCTGCGCTGACACGTCATCGTTGCCCAGACTTCATAGGTCCTTCAGGGTCACTCCTGGTGTGCATTCTGTGGGTTTAGACAAATGTAGAATGACAGGTGTCCACTATTACCATATCAGTCCGAGAATTTTCACTGCCCTAAAATCCTGTGCTCTGCCCCCTTAACCCCCCCTCCCCCAACCCCAACCCTGGCAACAGCTGACTTTTCACTGTCCCCACAGCTCTGCCTTTTCCACAGGGTCATGTAGGTGGGATCCCACACAGGTAGGATCACATGTAGGTGGGATCACTTAGTGATATGCATGGAAGTTTCCTCTATGTCTTTTCATGGTTTGATGGCTCATTTCTTTTTAACACTGAACAATATCCCATTGTCTGCATGCAGCAAGTTTATCTATTTACCTACTGCTTCCAAGTTTTGGCAATTATGAGTAAAACTGCTATAAACATTCATGTGCAGGTTTTTGAGTGGACATACATTTTCAGCTCCTTTGGGTAAATACTGAGGAGCATGATTGCTGGATCATATGTTGAAAGAATATTTATTTTTGTAAGAAACTGCCAAACTGTCTGCACCATTTTGTATTCCCACCAGCCGTGAATGAGAATTCCTGCTGCTCCACATCCATATCGGCATTTGGACTTGTCAGTGTTCTGGATTTTGTCACTCTAGTGGGTGTGCAGTGGTATCATTGTTGTCTTCATCTGTATTTCCTTGATGACTGATGATGTGGAGTTTGCTCACCTGTCATCTTATGTCTTCTGTAGTGAGGTGTCTGTGATGGTCTCTGGCTCCTTTTTTTTTTTTTTTTTAAGATTTTATTTATTTATTTGACAGAGAGAGGCACAGCGAGAGAGGGAACACAAGCAGGGGGAGTGAGAGAGGGAGAAGCAGGCTTCCCGCCGAGCAGGGAGCCCGATGCGGGGCTTGATCCCAGGACCCTGGGATCATGACCTGAGCCGAAGGCAGATGCTTAACGACTGAGCCACCCAGGTGCCCTCTGGCTCCTTTTTTAACTTGGTTATTTTCTTATTGCTGCCCTTTAAGAGCTCTTTGTTTATTTTTGGAAATAGTCCTCTATCAGATATGTTTTATGCAAATACTTTCTCCCAATCTGTGATTTGTCTCCTCATTCTCTTGACGGTGTCTTTGATGGAACAGAAATTTTTAATTTTAATGGAAATCCAGGCTATCAATTCTTACTTTCATGGATCATGCCTTTGGTGTCTTATCTGAAAAGTCATCACCAAACTTAAGTCATCTAGATTTTCTCCCATGTTATTTTTAAGGGGTTTATAGTTTTCTCCATTGTATCACCTTTGTTCCTTAGTGAAAGTTCATTTGACTGTTTTGGGCTCTGTCTTTTCTCCCATTGATCTGTTTGTCCTTTCTTTTGCCATTACTGTACAATCTTGATTAATGTAGCTTCATAATAAGTCTTGGAGGCAGGTAGTGTCAGTCTTCCAACTTTGTTGTTGTTCTTTAGTATTGTGTAGCCATTCTGGGTCTTTTGCCTCTGTATACATTTTAAAATTAGTTTGTTGATTTTGATTGGGATTGGATTAAATCTATAGACCAAGTTGGGAAGAACTGACATCTTGACAATATTGAGTCTTTCTATCCATGAACATGGGATATCTCTCCATTCATTTACTTTTATTTCTTTCAACACTTTTATTTTTCCTCATAGAGATCTTACATAATTTTTTTTTCAGAGAGAAAGTGAGCATGTGTGAGTGGGGGGTGCAGAGGGAGAGGGAGAGAGAGGATCTTAAGGAGATTCCATGCCCAGCATGGAGCCCAACACAGGGCTTGATCTCATGACCATAATCTGAGCCAAAATTGAGTCAGGCACTTAACCGACTGAGCCACCCAGGCACCCCAGAGATCTTATACAATTTTGTTAGATACGTACCTAAGCATTTCACTTGTTTGAGTGCTAATGTCAATGGTAATGTGTTTTTAATTTCAAAATCCACTTACTAATTTTTAGATGATCATGTCACCCATGAACAAAGACAGTTTTATTTCTATTTTCTCAGTCACTATACCTTCTTTTCCTTTTATTGTGTTATCATATTAGCTAAGACTCCCAGTGTAATGTTGACAAGAGTGGTGAGAGGGGACGTCCTCATCCTTATCTTGTTTCTAATCTTGTTGGGAAAGCTTGTAGTTTCTTACCACTTCATACATTAGCTTTTGGTATTTTGTAGATACTCTTTTTTAGGTTGAGGAAGTTCCCCTCATTCCTAGTATACTGATAGTTTTTATCATGAATTGCTATTGGATTTTGTCAAATGCTTTCTTCTACTTTTTTTTTTTTTGTAAATGAACTGTACTGTGAAGCAGCTACTATTGCTATTTATTTGTTTATTTGTTTATTAGAATGCAAGCACATGTGAGTGGGGGGTGGGAGCAGAGGGAGAGGGAGGGAGAGAGAGAATCTTAAAGCAGGCTCCAGGCCCAGCATGGAGCCTGACATAGGACTCAATCTCATGATTCTGAGACCATGACCCGAACCAAAATCGAGTTGGATGCTTCACTGAGCCACCCAGGCACCCCAACACTTTTTGATATTTTCATGTGATTTTTCTTTTTTAACCTATTGATGTGATGGATTAACTGAGTTTCAAATGTTCAACCAGCCTTGCATACTTGGAATAAATCTCCAAATTCTACTTGGTCATGATGTATACTTTTTTAATACATTGTATGGTTTGATTTGCTGATATTTTGAATATTTTGTTGAGTTTTGCATCTATGTTCATGAAGGATACTTGTTTTTAATTTTCTTTTTTTGTGATGTCTTTGTCTGGTTTTGATATTAGGGTAATCCTGGTCTTATAGAATGAGTAAGGAAATATTTCCTCTGCTTCTTCTGAAAGTAGTGTTTCCCTCTGTTATCTTTCTTCAGTCTTCTGAAAGAGATTTTAGAGAATTAGTAAAATCTCTTCCTTAAATATTGAGCAGTGGATCCATCATGGCCTGGTGCTTTCTGTTTTGGAAGGTTATTAATTATTGATTTTTTTATACCCCTATTTAACTTTTTGAACATATGGAATAGAATTATAATGACTGTTTTAATGTCCTTATCTAGTAATTCAGCAATCTGGATCAGTTCTGGTTTGGTTTCAAGGCCATCTGGATGATCTGTGGGTGGGTGTTTTCCATGGTTATAGATTTCCCTTGTTTTTGACTGAATGGTCTTGACTCCTTGAATGATTGACTGCCGGACATTATGTGTGAAAAAATGCAGAACTAGTTTGGGGCTCTGGATGATCTTAACTTCTTGCAGAGAGAATTTATGCTTGCTTCTCATAGCTGGCTGGCTGAGGGCACTGGCAATCCCAGGTCACTCTAATCCAATCGGGGATTATGAGAACTCAAAGGTGGGCTTGTGAGCACTCTTCTGCTGCCTGTTCGTCTTCCCTCCTTGGGCCTGGCCCTTTGGGTCACTACTCTAGGCCTGGGCATTTGGTAACATGCCCTTCCCTCCCACCTTAGTAGGTGGTATGTCTTTTTTAAAGCAGAAATTTATTAAAATTCATCTGTAGTGTTTTAAAGGAAAAAAAAATGCATGGAATTCTCAACCTTAAGTCCACTGGCTCTATTCTCAGAAGTACTTTGTCAGGCAGTGGAATTCTTTGCCCTTTTCCCAATAAGGTAGTTCTGTTTGTGCCTGAAAATGATGCATTTAATTACACCATTTTTGTGCTCCTAGTCCCGTAAGTATCTCAGGTTTCAACTGCCTTTACTGGAATTGTCAGAAAGCTGCCATTCAACAGGAGTCTTCATGGGTGAATGGCCTCCCATGTTGGGTTCCTTCTCGGTTTCCTTCTTCTCCGTTCTTAATTCTTTGTTGCTTTCATTGCTTTCTGATGCCTTAAAAGTGTGTCTGTATGTTCTTGGCAAATTTTTCCCCGCTTTCTTGTCGTTCTCATCAGGAGCTTGGTACAGATGAACTGGCCGCCATGACCAGAGACAGAGCTCTCGTCATTCTCGTGTTTGAGTGATGGCTCTTCTGTCAAAGTGCCTACTGTCTGCTGACTGTCAGCTCAAAAGTACCTCACTCAACACAGCCCAGACAAACTATGTTCTTTCCTGATTCCGTTCCCCCTTTCTTATGCCACCATTCACCTAGGGTTTCAACCTGGAACACTGATTATCTTTGCTTCTGTCCCTTCCCCCATCTCTCAATGCCCACTGGTCACAGAGTCTTTGGTTCTCTGTCTCCTCCCATCTCCATCTGTGCCGCCCTCATTCAGGTCTTTACTGTACTTGCTTTGGGATGTTTGGTCCCTCTGTGTCCCCATTGTGGTCCCTCTTCTGTACTTGCAGCAGTGTTACAAGTCTGAAAACGAGTTTGGTCATAGATTCTTCTGCTTGTACCTTTTCGGATGGCTTCCCGTTTCCTAGCGCACTATCAGAACTCCATACACAGCGCTCAGCCTTCCTGTAACTTCACTGTGTTCCTTGCTTGCACCAGCAGCCTCTGACATGTGCCTTGTCTCCCAACCACCCGAATCGCCCCTCCTCTTGGGGATTCCTCGTCATTGCCTTACCCTTCAATGTCCAGCACAGCCATTATTCTTCTGGCACGTAGCAGGACGCAATACATATTTGCTTAATTAATAACAAATGAGTAAGTGGAAGAGTGAGGTGACCTGCATCATTTTACTAGTGTGATTCTTAATGTTGGGTAACCATGAAATGGTTCACTTGAGAGAATAACTGAGTAGTACATTAACAGGAATTTTAATAAATGAATTATAAATGAATATATGAAATAAATATATTTGAAAAATTTCAGTCCATTTGATTTCTTGGGTTTGAGATTATGCTGTTATGCTTTTTTATTCTTTAAATATTATCTGTAGTTCATGATAGTTTTGTTTCTATTAACTCTTCAGCCTCTGACCCTAAGAGGACACCATGAGCCAATTACTGCTGTGGCATTTGGAAATGCAGCGAGTCCACTTCTCATCTGTTCTGCATCACGAGATTATGTTATAATGTGGACTCTAGATGAATGCAGACAGAAAGCACTTCAAGGTAAATGAACAGTTAAAATATATTTAAGTAAATGTACAAAGGGAATAACTCACCCTTAAATAGACTTGGTTACATAAGGGGACTTGGGAGAATTTTTCACTCCTTTAACCTTGAAACCAGATAGATGTCCAAGCTGGATGTTCTTTGGGGGAAGGATACCTTATATTCAGATCTACTGACCTTTGCTGTGTGTGAAGCTGACATGATAGGCTCATTAGTTTTAATATTATGTGTTTTGTCATTTTGATGAAACCTGTGATTTTTGTGGAACTCTGGAAACATGTAGGCAAGTGGAAATATTCTTTCCTTACAGACGGTGAGGGGAGGCAAACATGCATCGGACAGGCAAGTGAGTGGTTATGAGTTGTGGGGAGCACAGTGGAGAGGGCAGGCGAGGGGTCGATGGAGGCTGTGGGCAGGATGCACTTCCATGCTGTCAGCTCTGGGGAGGTGACTTTTGAGCTGGAGGATGAGGAGGAGCTGGGTGGAAGGGCTGGTGCTGGACAGTGGCCCTGTGCTGGGTGTGTGCGCGGGCCGTCTGCCTCAAGAACTCAGCCTGCCGGCCGAGCTGAGGAGGAGTCCCCAGGGTGGGAGCATGGTGATGTTGGAGAGTTTCATCAGATGAAGGTGGGAAGCGAGGCGAGGGCCACATTGAGGAGTGTGAGCTCTTTGTAATTGGCTACGCTGAGCATTCGTAGGATTGCTCCGGAAAACTGGTGTGAAGGGATCTTAGGCAGCAGCACATGGAAGAGTTTACACCTCACTCAGTGTCAGGACAGCACACGCACACACACGTGGACACGCGTGCACAGCACACACGTATGCGTCTAGCAGCGCACGCGTGTGGTGTATGCCCTCGTGTGTATATAGCGCGCACACTGCCCACATACACTCCGCGCGTGCGTGCACACGGACACAGACACACACATGTCCGTATGCACAGTAAACCACATGTTCGTTTCCTGCTCCCCGCGAAGGTTTTTGTAAATAAGCAGCCTTCCCTGTGGGAAGGGGCTGCAACCTTCTGAGCCTCAGGGGCCTCTCTGCCCCTATGAGGATGGGGTAGAGAGGACTCGTGTGCACTTGGACGCATGTGGTCTAGTCCATGGGCGGGTTGAAGCTGGCCCCGAGGCACAGTCTGGCGCCCCTGTGGGGCTCAGCGTTCTGTTCCCCAGAGCTCCAGCAGTGGGACTGCAGAAGGCTCCAGGGGAGCCGCAGGGGCCTGGGCCGGACGTAGCACCGCCCGGCTTGGTTTCCGTGCCCTAGGTGGGCAGGTGTGCTGGATTGTGGCGCCTTCGTGTCCAATATGATTGTGTTTGCACTTGGACTGGAAAATGGACTGTGACCCGGGGCTGTCGTTCCTCACTTGTCCCCAGTCTCCTTTGCTGGCTCCATGTCATTCTCCCACCTTTCACACTGGGATATGGGCTTGTTTTCTTTCCCCTCAAAAACCACTCCTTTGGTGATGACCCCAGGCTCCGACAGCTGCCACGTCTGGTCTCACTGAGTCCTCCCTCCCGACTGTGGTCTCACGTGTGAACTGCACCTGGACGTCTCCACGCGCATGTCTGATAGCACTTCAGGTTTACCTGTCCTGGTCGTGTTTCCCCCACCTGCCTCCCACCTCCCCACAGCAGCTCAGGTCAGAAACCATAGCACTGTGCTTCAGCCTCCCTCCACACCTCCACATCCAACCGACCCCAGGTTCTGTCTGCTTTCCCTGCAAAATGGAACCAAACTCTGGACGCTCCTCACACCTGTCTTCACTGTTGCCCTGCAGTCCAGGCCGCTGGGATCACTCAGCAGGGTAATTGCATTGGCTCCTCCTGCTCACCTTGCCCAGTGCTCTGCTCTCAACTCAACAGCCAGCGGTCCCTGGAAAATTGGAGTCTGAGTATGCTACCCTTCTGCCCAAAACCCTCCAGTGCCTTCCTACCTCATGCAGACTAGGGACTGACAAAGCTATGGGACCCCCAGCCAAAGCCCCAGTCTCAAGGAACAGCCCAGGCCTAGTCCTGCCCCCGGGCCTTTGCATCTGCTGCTCCATCTCAGGATCACAGTGGATTCTGCCACATCCTTCAGGGTCTACTTAAGTGTCTCCATTGCTGTGGGCCCTTCTGACCACCACCCTGGACCCCGGTCCCTTTTTGTGCTTTGCTTTTTCTTTCGTTGTTCACTTCCTTCTAGCGTTGTACATAACTTGTTTACTTATTCTGTTTATCGGTGTCTAAATGCCCCTACCCCCTACCCCAAGTAAGCTTTCCACAAAGGCGGGACTTTGTCTCTTTGTTCACTGATCTGTCCCGGGTGCCCAGGGAGATGCCTGGGGTAACACAGGTGCTTGGTGAATATTCATGCAAGGAGACCATGGGATTTTAGCCAAGATAGAACTCCAGTGATAAGTGCACATCTCCCCTTCTGTAGTTCGAGGTCTCGCTGGTGACACGGCCTTGCTGGACAGGGCCCAACCACAATGGCACTGAGTCCTGCTGCATGGTGGTGGGTTGGTTGAGGGACCCTGCTTAAGGCTGCGGATTGGCTCATGTTGTCACCTTGGACGTGCAGGCCTGCAGGGAGACATCCTCCTAGGGGTAGAGAGTCCCCAGAGGCTCAGATGGGCACCCTGTGCCTTCTGCCTGTCTGACATGAGCCCGAGCAGCTCACTGGCCTGGTCACGGAGGAGGAAGGATCGGGACCGTGGGCGATTCTGTATGACCCCCACGTGTATGCACAGGCAGCCTTCCCAGAGACCCATTATCTGTGACGACACTGAGTCATTTTCTGATGCATGATCCCTGCGTTCCACATACTTCCAGAAGAACCGTTTATACTTGATGTTTTTAATACTCTCAAGGGGCCAAAGTCACATCCAAGCTCGTTGTTGTTCTGCATGTGATTTTAGAGGAGAGAGCTACATTATCAGTGCCTCCCTGTGGCTTGTTGCAGTTATGCTAAGGTTGTTGACTCCTGTTGAAAACCTGACACTAACTCTGAAACTCCGTCTAGGGCTGACTCCTCAAGGGGTTGTCGTGGGCACCCTCCTGGGAAAGGTGCTGTGTTTGAGGTTGAGCCCAGATGACCGCACAGCTGCAGTGTGTGCTGGAAAGAAAATATTTATGCTGGATACTGAGGTAAGGTTCAGTGCCTGCCCAAAAGTCAGCAGTACTTTTAACTGGGCAATGAAGGAAGACATATCTTTATCTTGCACTTGGAAAGCCGCCTGAATCAGATAGTGCTGTTCTATATCAATCATGACACCGGTCCATGAAGTCAGACTATCAGGATGCTAAGCAAGCGTGTTCAGTCAACATTTATTTCTCTGATTTCTCCTCCTTTGGTGATCTCTCCAAGCCCTCCCAGCACAGTGCTTTTGTTTATCTCTTTTTTCTAAGCTTGCTTTCTGTCAAGAACTGTACTTTTCTCACTTATGTCTTAACTGGAGTTGGTCTGAGTATATGCGTCTCCTCTTCCAGGCTCTGCGACTTCTAAATCTCACATCTGACTAGGAAACGGGAGCCCGTTAGGCTCAGCCAGGCATGAGAGAGCAGGAGTGGGGCTGGGGGTGTGAGGGAGGCCTCCTGTTTGCTCAGAATTCATGTTCTGCTTGAGACTTATTTTGGAGACAGATCATACAAGGCCTGGCCTTGGCTTATGTTTGCCAAGTGAATGCAGTTAACAAAGCTATTTGCCTATGAGGAATTTTCTGCTATATCTACTTAGGAAAAATCTGGGTTAGGGAGAGTGTTAGGCATAAAATCTTAATCGAGGATTAATTGATGGTGGGCTTACTGTGCGCTAGGCAGTTTGGGGCAGAGCGTACATTTCTGTGTTCATGCAGTTTTTGGCCAAATTATGCAACTGAGGCTCACACATAACAAAATGCTAACGTTGTAAGTGAAGTCACAGATGATGGGAAATGTCCTGGGATTCAGTGATTCCATGAAGGAACCCACCACATGTAGCAAAGCTCACCAGCCTCATGCTGGGAGAAGGAACACAGATGAGCCAGGAGGACACCAAGCACCGTCAGCATCAGAAGGAAGATGAGATGTCCTGGAAAGAGAAGATTGCGGACCCGAGTCAGGCCTCAGCCATGCAGACAGGAAATGAGGTGGCAGGTGTTTGTTCCAGACCCTGTATGGCTGGCCCGTTACTCTTCGCACACTTCTTAGCAGGCTTGTGAGATTTACCGGGGGAAAGTAGCTGGACGCACGTGAGCTGCCAGCATGTTGGTGAAGTGTAGTGCTTTCCACAGAACACTAGGAAGTGACCAGTTGATGAACTTAAGACTTTAAATGAATACAGAACACTTAAACTAATGTAACACATGACCATAAATGCCGAAAGGAAACAGGGGTTTTCCAGGATACAATGCTATTAATAGACAAGGAGTATCTCATATTACAGACATTGGAGGGAGTAGAAACGTGCATTTCCTAACATCCAACCTGGAGAGTATCTCTGTTCTTGTGCACGTTATGACCCCACCTTTTATTTTTAATCTTCTGGTGATAAGAGACATAAGCTAGCTTGTCGAGGGTTTCAGGTTACATTATTGGAAGTCTTCCAGGGTTAAGCGCTCACTCCTTAGTTAAGTTGCTGTGTCGATACAGATACGTGTATATTTCCTGCATGTGTATGAGGGGCTATTTATCTTGTCTGACTGGAGGCCGCAGGGTTGAAGAGCAGGCCTGATCCCAGTTGCCTGGAGTCCCACAGGGACATCTGCTGGGGTGACTGGTCACTGAATCTGTGCTGTGTGATTCTGGCTCACGACACTGTCTTCTGGGGCTTCCTGGCTAGGGTAGGTTTCAAGGGTTTTGGAGGAAGGATAGCTCATTAGTAGTAGGAACACACTGTCCTGTTTGATCTTAGGATGCTCTGCCCACCCCTGCAGAGATGTTCTGGGCAGTCCTACAGCAAAGAGTGGCCTCAGGGCTGCACACAGGGTGTGGGCGGGAAGATCGGCCTGCCTGCTGTGTGGAGCTGCTCAGGACCCGCATCACGTCGCTCTGTTTCTAAAACTGCTGTGCACGTGGCCCTGGGCAGCTGATGCCCCCTCCCAGCTCAGCCATCTGAATTTTAACTTCTAGGTTTAGATACAGGTAGTTTCACATGTGGAAAAGGGAGTTACATAAAGTAGAGCTCAACAGAAACTGTTTTCTGTGAGATGTATATAGCTTCTTAATAACAAGAGTTACCAGAACATTCGGTTATTGATCTTCCTTCACAAATTTTCCCAGAGGCAGTCTACACTAGCTGAGCTGGAGGGTCACCGGGGCCGTGACTGCAGCTGAGTTCTGTCCGTGGCAGACACATCTCATCATCTCAGTGTCTGAAGACAGAAGCTTTAAGGGAAGGGCGTGGACACTGGGGTGCGTTAGGTGCTTTTCAGAGGACTGTGGACACAGTTGAGCAGGCCTTTCTGGTCTGCGGTCACCGCATACCTGTGATTTTATTTCTGCCACACTTCTGTCCTGAACTTGGCCAGAGGTGTCAGCTGGGCGTGTCCCAACATTCCCAGGTGGGCTTGGGTCAGCTGCGGGACTCTCCTCCTTAAATCCAGGGCCTTGGGGAGCTAGAACATTAATTTACTCCGCAGTGTTTCCTGGGGGCCCAGAGCAGAAGAGCCATTTTCCAATATCAGAGGATTCAATCAGAACTAAATTGAGCTTAAGAAGAAACTAATTTATTTATTTATTTATTTTAAGATTTTTTTTTTTTTTTTAATTTATTTATTTGACAGAGAGAGAGAGAGCACAAGTAGGCAGAACGGCAGGCAGAGGGAAAGGAAGAAGCAGCTTCTCTGCTGAGCAGGGAGCCAGATGCGGGGCTCGATCCCGGGACCCTGGGATCATGACCTGAGCTGAAGGCAGACGCCTAACCGACTGAGCCACCCAGGCGCCCCAAGAAGAAACTAATTTAAAATGTCAGCTCCGTTCCCATCCAGCTCCCAGTCAGCTAGCATTAGGATTTTTATCCTATTGACCAAGTGAGGACTTGTGCAGCGTTATTGGAAGAAGAGTTATGGGTGGTTTACACCCACTGGCAGGGTGGGAGAGGAGAGACACTGGAACACTTCCTCGGTCATCTGGAAATGTCTGCTTCTTCCCTTGCTCGGGCCCAGCCCCAGCCCCTCCAGCTGCTGCAGACAGATGAGCTGAGCCTGGATGGAAGTGAGGGTGCCCGTCGTCTCATGGGGATTTTGAGATGGGAGCTGAGTTTGGAAAGCGCCGGAGCGTGTCCGGAAACAGGCCCTTGCCCTTGGCAGTAGACGGCAGTGACTGTGGCCGCGCACCTCCCCCAGGCAGTGTCGATTGCTGCGGGGATGTCTGCAGCCCTGGCTTGGGTCTTCCAAACCCACAGATCCTTACTTGTGGAAATACTAGCTTTTCCCCATATGATTCTGAAATCTTTTATTGTGTTTCTACAGTTTTATTATTTATATACCTATTTTATTATTTTCTCCTTTAGGTAACCATTCACACGAATTAATTTGTAACCGAGTCGAAGTATTAGTTCAAGCTACATCAGGAATGTAGATCAGAAAAAAATTTATATCTCTTCTAAAGAAACATGTGTCTTTCCAAAGGTTTGGGATCATCATATGGGATCATTAATCTACAACTCGTCAGTGTTAACAGGTAACTTTAAAAACTTGTATGTCTGTTTTGTCGGTGGGCTTTGTGGAGTCAAATTCTCTCAGTGTGTGTTTTTAAGCTGGAGTTCTCACATTCAAGGGGGTCTGAGGGTCTCCCTCCCATCTATCACCTTGTAAGGATTCACTTAACAGGTGCATTTCTTGAAGGTTTTAACTTATAATTAAGCATATGCTTGCAGTCTGAAAAGCATACTGGTGGGCTGGAAGAAATGTGCTGCCCCCCACGCTGTCCCCAGGAACAGGTGCGGAGCCAGGCCTCTGCAGGGTGCATCTGCCCCGTGGATCCGAGGCTGTGCTTAGGCAGGAAGTTCTGCACGGCCCTGAGCTCTCAGCGCCTGAGCCCTCTGCTCAAACTGTGTGTCTGGCCGTGAGTCCCTACAACAGGTCATGTAGGTCCCCACACCCCTCCTGACCGGTGTTCCCATGCTCCTGGTGCACGTCCTTCTGCACAGGGAGCCCCTTTCTTGGGATGACTCACACAGAAATACAGCTTTGCGAACGTGCAGGTGCTTGTGACCTGGAGCAGATACGGTTGCACGTCTCAGAGATTCAGCATTCTTCCTGACGTCACTCATCCATGTGCTGAGTAGGGTGTTTTGTCAACTTGAAGACATTCGTCCACCTCAGGGACAAACCACATTTCTTGGAATTACCTTGGAATTATTTTCCTGAAATTAATTTGTGGAATTATTTGACTGTTAAGAAAACAATTACTGGGGCGCCTGGGTGGCTCAGTCGTTAAGCATCTGCCTTCGGCTCAGGTCATGATCCCGGGGTCCTGGGATCGAGCCCCACATCAGGCACCCTGCTCCGCGGGAAGCCTGCTTCTCCCTCTCCCACTCCCCCTGCTTGTGTTCCTTCTCTCGCTGTGTCTTTCTCCGTCAAATAAATAAATAAAATCTTTAAAAAAAAAAAAAAGAAAACAATTACTAACTTGATTTTGATGTCATTTATAGTTTATTTAGGACATGCAGTGTCTTTAAATGTCCATTTATCTTAATTTTCCTTCTGAATTCTTGACGGTTTAGATTCAGAATAACTTTTAAATGACATCCTAGGCAATAATTTAAACAGTAGGCATCATTTAATTGCTGTTTTCCTGACTAATCCCATAAACATGTTACTTCTGTTGCAAGTGTCATGGTTACTGGGTGGTAGGGCTTTTTACAGTGTGGGTGACGGAGCTGCTGGTTCTCAGTGGCGCCGCGTGGACTGTGCTAGTCAGGCTCCCACCTCCACGGGGGGCTGCCCCAGGCTGTTCACATGGGACAGCTTCACTACCTTCCCGCGCACGCGGGTTCTCAGAATGTGTACGCACTTACGGTTTCTATTTCCTGGTGAAGAAATTATTTCAGGATAGTTCAGACTTGACTAAAAAAAATATTGTAAGTAAAACTCGGATACTTTTCAGTTTAAGTATTTACAGATAGATATTTGTGTATTCCGTTTATAGCTCCCCTCTCCTGAGTCTCCTCATCGATGCAGAGAGCCGGCAGCTGGTGACGGGATGCGCAAACGGCCAGGTGAGGGAAGCACAGACTTCAGTTCCAGGTCCAAACACCATCATGACTATGTGAACGCCTGCAGAGAGGTCTCTGCTCCAACACTCCCTTGTATTCTTTCTGACTGGGAGAAACTGTTGACCCCAGCAGTCGAGCCGTTCCTTTTGGGGCCTGGGCATCGGGGTGGGGCTCACACTCACACGCGCCCGCCTACAGCCATCAGAAGAGCCTGCTTTATACAGTTTGAAAAATTTGAAGATAACTTGATTTTTTTTCAAAACTTACTTTTTTTAGGTGAGCAATTCAGGTGTATTCACAAAGCATGGATACTGTTCTCTTTTTTAAAAAGTTGCTGTTGAGATAATTTGGGCAAGACACCCTGTTAGGAAATAATGCAGTTCTCGCTCCCGTGTGAGTGTTCTTTGCCTTCACACGGAACACCTCGCCTCTGGCCCTTCGGGTCACCCCACGCGTGCGGTGTCCCCCCCACACCGGGCAGCCTGTAGCACGCCAGCCGGGTGCCCTACGGTTGCACCCAGTTCTGACGCTGTCTGCCTGGAGCCCCCACAGGCGAGGGGCCGAGGCCCAGGAGACGGCGTCCCCTTCACACGCCGACCACAGCAGTGGGTCTGCGAGTCCCCCGGGTTCTGTGCAACCCGGCTGCAGACCGGAGGGACCCACACCCCCCGTTCGGGTTTGACGGATTTGCTGGAGCGACCTGCAGACCTCAGGGAAACGCTTATTTACCAGTTTACCAGTCTGTTTTTATGAAGATCTATTTATTTATTTGAGAGAATGAGAGAGCGAGCACGAGCGGGAGGGGCAGAGGCAGAGGGAGTGAGAATCCCAAGCAGACTCCCGCCGAACGTGCTGAGCTGGGAGCCCAGTGTGGGGCTTGGCCTAGGACCCTGAGATCACGACCTGAGTCGAAACCAAGAGTCGGACGCCTCACCGACTGAGCCACCCAGGTGCCCCCAGTTGATGCGTCTGTTAAAGGACGTGATGAAGGACACAGACGAGCACCCGATGGAGAGGCACATATGGCGAGGTTTGGGAGGGTCGCCCTCCCGGTGTGGACGGTGGACGTGTTCACCAACCTGGGAGCTGGGTTTTCATGGAGGCCTCAGTATGTAGGCATGATTAATGAAACCATTGGCCATTGGTGAGTGAACCCAACCTCCAGCCCCCACCCCTCCCCGGAGGTCAGGGGGTGGGACTGAAAGTTCAGAGCCTCTAATCACGTGACTGGTTCCCCTGGCAACCTGCCCCCACCCTTAGGGGCTTTCCAGAAGTCACCTCATTAACAGAACAAAAGACACCTTTGTCACTCTCAACACTTAGGAAGTTCCTAGGGTTTTAAGAGCTCTGTGCTGGAAACAGGAAGTCCAAAGACATGTATTTATTGTTATAAATCACAGTATCACAGATCTGTTTTTGGAAGAGATTTTATTTTTCTTTTCGACGAAGGTGGCTGCTCTTACTGTGTGTCTGCAGCTGTGTGTTCGTGGTGTTGGGTTCAGAGAGCCCGCTGTGGGCCACTGGGGACCAGAGCACACGCCCTCTGGGGCAGTGGTTTATAAGCCAGAGGGTGCGTCTGCACCTGTCGGCCGTCTGAATCGACGCGTTGCCGGGAAGGGGAAGGGAGCGGTCCGACCGGCAGAGGAAGGGCCCAAGCAGGCTCTCAGGCTGCGGGGCTTGTCGCGGGCACCACACCCATCTTTCTCCTTGGGCTTGTACCTCGCGTTCACCTGTGCCCTGTGATGGCAGACTCCCGGTCTGTGCCTTGGTGGCCTTTCCAGCTTTGGGTCTTCAGTTTGGTTGAAGGACATCGTTATCGTTGTGTGACAGGAGTTGACCTAAAGAAGAAGAGAGAGAGTTTCTTCAGGAGGGTTGAGTCCAGGCTGTGCAGCCTGCCAGGTAACATCACGCAGACCCTCCCCTGGGGCTCCTGCGCATGCGGCCCCTGCCCACAGGGCTCCTGAGCAGCCTGCCAGGGTCCTGTGTTAGGTGAACTGAAGAGAGCGCAGGGCAGGGACAGTTCCTATTGGGAGAAGTCTAGCATCTGACCTCAGACATGCACCAGCACCAGGGGGCTCTTGTGAGGGAGGGTGGGTGGGGTGGGGCGGCAGTGAAGCTCATCCTGTGTGCAGGGGGTGAGGTCCGCTGATGAGGAGAGCATGCGCCCCCCAGCCCAGGGCAGCCGCTTCCCCGCTCCTGATGGTCGTCCTGTGCCAGGCCCCCAGCCTACCTGGGCTGGCCCCCATCTCTGCTGGAGTCCTCTCTGTGTGCCCACAGTAGCTTCCACGTGGCCCCGCCTCACTCGGGTATCTACACCGCATCACAAAAGGAGTGGATGCCTCGCTGGAAAGGGGGTGGTTTACTTCTTACCTCTTGTGGGCACGTGGCATCCCTTAAGTTTCCTGTTACAGCAGATGTGTCTTTTCCCTGCTGCCCTCAAGCTTCTCATCACTGTTCTTCTTCCTTTTGGTTTAGTTTGTGTCTTTTTTTTTTTTTCATAGATGGCTTTAAGCTATTTCTGTTGAAAGAAGGTCAGAAATTACCTTTATCCAATGTATCTGTTTTCTTCCTAATGCTTTAAATCTTGGCTTTCATTATTTCTTGTGTAAGTGCTGTTAATTAGGAAGTGAACCTGATCCTGCTTTAGGAACAGAGTTAAAGTCTAGGTGTGCTTGGAACTCCACCTTTCTTCCTGACAGGCCTCATGTATGGGGACTACTCTGCATTTATAATCTTGTTCTTTTTTTTTAAATTTTTAAAAATTTATTTAACAGAGAGAGACACAGCAAGGGTAGGGGCACAAGCAGGGGGAGTGGGAGAGGGAGAAGCAGGCCTCCCAGCTGAGCAGGGAGCCCAATGCGGGGCTCCATCCCAGGACCCCGGGATCATGACCTGAGCCGAAGGCAGACACTTAACCGACTGAGCCACCCAGGAGTCCCTATAATCTTGTTCTTCATCGCGTGTAAGCCTGGCTGTTTTCCTTGACTCATGATCTGATCCGAGCTATTCTAGCCCACATGTATTTCCTACAATATCCCATGCTGCCAACTGTCTGCCTTTGACTCTCCGGACCATTTTAATCCCATAGCTCAGATTATCAGTAATTCTGTTCCTAGAAGAGGGTTGGCTTCCCTGCACAGTTGGCTTGGAGAAAGGAGAGGAGGTTGAAGCAAGCCTCCCTGTCCTGGGGCTGCGGCCATGTGATCTGTCCCTCATTCTCCCTGCCGAGTGCGGGTGGTGAGTATGATGAAGTTGTCCAACACCATTGAGGAAAGCCTCTTAAGTTAGGTTCATTTTTTAAGAATGATTAAAATAAAGCCAATGTATTTTTGTCTGTTTAAGTAATAATAACTGTTCAGTGTTTTTAGGATTGCATATTCGGTAAACTTGGTCAATTACTTTTAAGTCTGTTTGATAAAAGAAATGAAATTGTTTTTAATTTTGCTCACCAAAGTCTAGGCAGATCTTGACTCTGTAATAAGGTAAAGGGGGGTGTAATCATAACTCATTCTAAACCTCCCCCATCTGTGCCCTACATCAGACATTTCAAATATACTATGATGGCTTTAACTACTGAGTACAGAAAGCTCTAGGGACAACGAGGGACGAGCCTCTGGTCTCCCTGGACAAGGTGGGGATGGGAAGGGGAGCGGCTGTGCTGTGGGCCAGGTCTCTGCCCAGGTGCCCTGCTGGGTCTGCCCCTCGACGCAGGCCGCGCGGGACAGACATCTGAGATGACCTGCGCTGGAGCTCCTTGAGGATCAGCCTAGGCTTCCTCCCCTGGGGTGCAGTTGTTTGGCTGACCTGGGGACGGCTGTGGGAGCACGAGGGCCTGAGAATGAGCCCAGGAAGTCAGGGTGGTCAGAGGCCTCAGGGGACCGAGAGGAAGGTGGGAGACAGGGCGCCGAGAGCTGCTCAGAGTCTCAGGTCTGGCACAGCCAGAGGGGCTTATTGGTCCCTTTATTAATGTTTATCTAGTTTGTATATCAGAAAATAGAAGAGAAAGCAGAGCTGCGTTTGGCCTTTCATGGGCTCTGCTACTTTCGTCTGTTTCCTGTTGAGCTGGTTTCCTCCTTTCCAGACACTGCGTGGAAGGACCTGCAGGTGCTGTGCTGTGCCTCTCACAGGGATGCCCACCTGAGCAGAGTCCTGTGGCCTCGGAGAAAGGAAAACCTTGCAGATCACAGTCGAGTTGGGATCTGGTTGTGGTTGTTTAGTACTTGTCTTCGCCAGACAGCAGGTGTCCAGGAAACCCAAAATACCAGCCTAGTCGAGGATAGTTATAGATCCTAAATGCCAAGAGCCGGCTGCCTACAGGAGCTTAAGGAGGGCCCGCTCCGTGGCGCTCTGTGGGATGGGAGCCTGAGGAGGAGACCAGCTGGGTGTTTTCTCTTTTTCCTTTAAAATTAGTCTTTCTTCTGAGAATACCACATGCTTGTGGATTGGAAGCTCAGCTGGCTTATTCATATTTAACTTGGCAAACTTTGAACTGGAAGCCGTTTTACATTACAAGGGTAAGATCAAAGTTCAGATCATCTTTGATATAAATTTCATGTAACTTCAATTAATCTTTTTCTCTGGCATCTGGGAGAGTGACCCTTTTGGTGTAGAAGGCCTAGTCATCAGAATGTGCAGACGGGCCATGGGCAGCCTCTGTGCGTGGGATCCCAAGGACACGCTTTGAGTCCACTCCTACCTCTTGGTGGGTCTCCCTTCCCTTGGTCCCCAGTCCTCCCATCTTCCATGTGTGTGCAGGGCCCCGAGGGACACTTGTTCTCTTTAACACTCCCACATCTGTCCCAAGCTCCTACCAAGGATTTTTAAGTCCACCCGGTCAGTATTTCCCACTGGAGACTTAACACCGTGACTGGGTGACTGGACGGCCTCATCAGCTTGTCAGCCTCAACTTGTTTGAACTGAGCTGGGGCACCCTCCTGTCCAACCCTGGTTCCTGTCCTCAGGTTCCATGACCACTGTGCACGGAGCTGCCCCTGCCAGAAATGCAGGCATGATTAATGCTTCCTTCTCCACCCTCCCTGTGTGCACTGCAGCCAAGGTCACCTGTAAATGCAAGCTCCCTCTTTCTCTTTTAAGGCCCCTGCGCTTTGGGGACAGAGTCTGAGTTCTTAGCTTGGGCCAGCCCATGCCTCCATCCTCATGGGAAGTCACTGTGCCTCTTCATCACCTGCGGGACTTTGCCTGAACCCTCCAAAGCAGAGCTCCCGTTTCTCCTCCTGCTCACCCTTGAAGGTTCACCTGAACCTGCCCCGGGAGCTCTGTTCTCCCTGCTCCCCCTGAGGCTACACCGTGCACGGGGTCTGTGGTCTCTGTGGGCGCCTGCTTCTCTGTGACTCGGGGCCGCTCCGGGGGCAGGGTTCTTGTAAGGGCCTCGCTGCTCGAGACCTGCCAGCCCCCAGCACAGGCCTGTGTGCAGAGATGTGTCCGTGAGTGGGTGGTTCCCTCCACTTATCCCGTCAGCAGCGCTGGTTTGTTTCTCTTTGCTGGAAACGAAGATTTCAGGAGCCTCAGCATTCAAGTTGCCGGATCATGTGCAGTGATGAGCAAAGCCGGGGATGAGAAGCTGAGTCCTGCAGAATGCAGCTCTCTGTACTTGTGCTGTGTGCCACTTAGCTCCCCGGGGGCCATATGGTTGGCAGGCGGCATGTTGCTGGGCGCACGGTGCCACGTGCAGCTACAGCGTAACTGCTAATGTCATTACTGATGCTGCGCTTGCCGTGGGGTCCTGTGTGTTCACTGTTGACTGTCCGTGCAGGCCGTCTGCTTGCTCACGTCCTTGTGTGGCCGTAAGATCGCCTTGTTGGAAATCCATGTTGCTGCTCTGGTGAGGTCTCAGCGGGGCCACGGCGCGGGAAGGGATCTGTCCGTGCTGCCTCGGTACAGTCTTCCTCAGTGGGGTATACACCTGCAACTTCACCAGCCGGGGGAATTTCGGTTCCTCTTGATCTTAAGAAAGAAAAGTAAAGTTCAGTAAACTCCCAACTGTACTAACTCTGTTTGAAAGAGATGATTGCTCATGGTATTGCTTCTATATTGTTTAAAACTAAATGATTCATAGTTTATTTTAATGCAAAACTATTGTATTTCAGGATAGAATGTGAATTATGAAATGGCACTTTTATTAATAATATTAAAAATTATTTCTTAGAAGGATAAGAGTAAGCTTGTTTCCAAACATTGCACACCCGTATGTACGTGAATTACTAATCGCTTGGGACTGTCCTTAAAATGTACGTTTCCTAGCTATGAGGCCGGTATGTGAGTCTGCTCTCCTGGTGCACTTTGTGTCTCTACATTAGCGCCCCTGTTCTCTCCACCTCTCCACTGCACTTCAGACCTGCTGAGGAAAACAGGACGCAGCCGGCTCCGCAGAGACAGTCCGGTTAGTATAGTGTACTCTGGAATATCAGTATACAAAGCTGGTGCTGCCCTTCGGCCCCGTGCTGGTTGGCACCACTCTCTTACTTTGTGAATTCGTGTTTGTCAGCATGAAAATTCAGTGTTTCCTCCCTTCCGGTGTTCCTTCATTTCGCTGCCTTTCGCGTATGTTTTACATGCTGTTTGTGGTAGGGAATGTGCTAGATGTTTCTTTTCCTGAATTGGGTAGAATTCAGAGGAATTCAGAAATATTTAAAAATGCTGATGTTTCTCATGGCCAGAAGAGCAGTGGTACCCAGGGATGCCCAGTCATTTATCATGGGAGCAATCTTTTCTTGCCTCTCTTTGCTGAATAATTTTCAAACATATTGCAAACATCATGTTATTTTTCCCCTGTGTACTTCAGCATGCATTTATAAAACATGTGGACATTTGCTTACCTAGTTGTGACGTCATTATATCAAAACCAATGGTAATTCTTGTATTAGCCAGCCCATATAAATTATTCCCGATTGCCTCAAAAATTTTTCTTATTGTTTTATTATAAGCAGAAAACAAATTCACATGTTACTTTTTACAAAGAAATGATTTTAAAATTAACTTCTGTTTTAAGATGATAGACATCATTACATTCCATATATTTCCATTGTAAGAATCATTGATAATGATTTTTTTTTCCCTTCAGTGACCAACTCAGTGTCCTAATCAGTCTTGTTAAGCCTCTATTGACCTAATTAAAAAACAATAGAGGTGCTCAGTCAGTCTGCTTTTATCTCCATCTCTGGTGAGAGACCCAGCTCCTGGACAGGGAAGGATTGGGTAGGATGGAGTGCCCCCCTGCTAGGACCTCCAGGCTCTCCTCTCCTACAGATTTCCTCCTGCCCAGGTGGGCCCCTGTGTCCATCTGTCCCCTCCCTTCTCCGTGAGACCCTCTGAAATCCTTGACTGTCCTTCTGGGAAAGATAGTGCAGAACCCCCGACTGCCACCCTCCCAGGTCACTGCCGGCCAGGTCCCCTGGGGATTGGATCACCCCTGCTGGGTTTCTGAGCTGCGGCTCTCTCCTGCTCTTCTGACCCTTCTTGCTCTGTCTCTCTCTGCTCCCCGTCCCTCCCCTTCAGTCTGAAAACCCAGCTGAGAGGATTGCTCAGCAGGAAGTCAGCTACCAGTCCTTATTTAAATAGCAGCTTCCTCAAAGAATTGTCCATTCCTATGTCCGTGTGTTACTGAAAGTGGAGAGGCTTTACTAGGTGTATACTATGATCTTATACTTTATTGATATGGTAAAAGTCTGTTTCTCATATTCTTTTTAAAAACATGTTTTGTTCATTTATTTTTTGTTTCTTGTGTATATTTTTTTTGTTGTGGTAACATACATATAATGTAAAATTTAACATTTTAAACCATTTTTAAGTGTACAGTTGATTGGTATTAAGTACTTTCATATTGTTGCATAATGTAAAAAGTCTTTTTGAATAATTTTCTTAATACCAAAAAGAATTTCATGTTATGTATATGCTTCTATTAAAATTATTTGGAAAACTTGTGACTAACAAATATTAATTACATTGCTAACAGTTGGAATAATATTCTGAAGTTCTAAGTATATTTTTACTCAAGGAGAATTACTTGTGGGATGAAATCTGTACGTTACGTGACTAGTGATGTAATTTGTCTTTTCCCTGTAAGTGTGGCCAGCTATTTTCATCAGCCACATGTGGGCGACTTTACATTTCAGGAGTATAATTTCACAGCGCACCTCCATGCAGAAATCTGTTGTGAAATGAGACCGATGAGTCTCTCTTCTACTTTTTTTACCGAACTCATTTATTTCTTTAGCTTTTGTTCTTGCATATGTTTTATTTAGATTTACCCTTAAAAATTGATTTTTTTCATTTTTTGCTAGTATGGATCATCTTATTCAGATGGGGTATATGATATACCATTTAGTCACAGCTAAATGATGTGTAGAACAAAACCTTTGATAAGAACAATTAAATAAATAGTAAGGTTATTACAGAGATTATAATTTCTCTGTATCCAGAGAGTGGTGAAATATCAAAGTGTTGATTTTTTTTATGATGGTTTTATGTCTTGTTTAAAAAAACATTTGTATGGAAAATTACTGAAAATGACTGATTTATAGCTATCCTATAATCTAAAAATTTACATCCCTCTACTTGCAAAAAGCATATAGAAATAAGAAATATTTGTGATGAAGAATTGCTTTACTTTGATGCTTAGGGCATTTATTTAAATAATATGCATTTACATATTCATGAACTTTATTCTAGTAATTTTAAGACCCTCTGAAAATCAAGTACACTAATGCACCTGCAACCTTATTACCTGATCCTGAAAATACTGTACTGTTGGCTTTATTTTTCTTGGAGATTTTTTTTCTCCTTCACTTGACATTGAGGTGGAGAGAGGTTTTCTGGGTCCTCTCTGGGTACAGTTTTATTTCCAGGTCTCCCCTGAGGAGCCTACCTCCCCCCCCCCCCCCAGGGGGGATCTGCCTTGTGTAAGCCGGGATGCGTCCCCAGTTCCTGGTCACATACATGTCATTTTAGTGATTTGCTCATTAGTTTCACTTGGTTTTTGATGGAATATGGTCCAGGTTACAGGTTTGAAATGGTGTCAGAAACTGAACTAAATTTCTTTGTTTAAAAAAAAAAAAACTATTTTAAAAACAACTCAATATTATACAATTATCCATTTTTCTAAAGGTATTTTATACTATTGTACAGAATATTCTATTGGATACCAAGTATTAAGTGCATGTAAATGTAAATAATTCTGGCAGAATTTTATTTCATCTGAGAGAATTTTTGAGATTTATAAATATTTGTGGTAAGTTCATGCAATGTCAGAGTTTTTATCAGTCTGCAGTATTGTGGAAGACTTAGGTTAAAAATAGGATAATAAGTTTTATTGCCATTAAAAGGCGCTGATGTAATTATGTTTTAGTGGTTTATCTTTCTTATTACTCTATCTTATGATAAAAAAGTATAAATGAGGAATTTGAGTTAAGATCATTGCTATTCTTGTTTGTAGAAAAGATGTATTTGTCACAGATTTATGGAGCAAATTGTTCCTGATAGCTGGTCTTTAGCATCCCGTGGACAGAATTTCAGACAGACTGGGCTTTGTGTAGGGCCTGTTTTTTTACACCTTGAGCTGACATGTTCATCCAGAGTATTTGAAATATGTGGCATTGAACATACTGCAATTCAGTATCATTTGAGGAATGAGAAAAACGTTGTCTTGTTGTTTTCTTATGCTTTTAATGCCCTTGATGTGACCTTCTTTGCTGGTAGTGGTTGGTTTGGCATCAGGTATGAGACCTCTTAAGTTTATAGGTAATAACCTCATTCCATTTGTGTGAACTTTTCTGTTTTCAAGGAACTTTGTTCTTGTCATGTTCAGTATTTGCTACTTTTGACACTCATTTTATGCAGCCATGCGGAGCACCATTAAGGACCAGCCCCTGGTTTTCCACAGCAAAGTGAGGTCGTCTGGGTATGCGTCCACATCACAGTGAATAAATGCGCTCATAGGTTGCTCATGTTGGGACATGGAGGTAGGGTTCAGTATACCTGAGCCCTCTTCTCCCATCCTCCTTCATCTGGCCCCCAGCCCCTCCTCAGCACCCAGGGGTCTTGTGGATCCTGCGGCAAATGCAGAGCCCCTGGCCGTGGCACACGGCCGGGCCACCCTCTCCTGCCCCTTGTCCTGATGGCTCTGGGCACGGCCTGATGCAGAGTGTGTTGCTTGCTCCGAGAGGCTTGGATGCAGGTGTGGGGTGGGAGTGTGGCTGTCCAGCATGCATCCCTGGGGCTCGGCACTCTGTGTCCCAGAATCTCTGGGGTCTTGTTTCTTCATCTGAAAAACAGGCCAGCACCAGGTGACTGTTCAGCTACTGCCAATATTCGATAATTTGATTTTATTAAAGGGAGGATTCAGCATTACTTCCGAGTGATTTCACTTCTATTTCTGAGTAGGTTCACACATAACGTCTGTAAATGCAGTTCAATTTCTGTTGTGATCCTATGCTTTCATTCTCCAAAAGGAGACACTGTCCCAAGAATGCCACTGCAGATGTGTAAGTGGGAGGGAAGTTGTTACAGTTGAAGTAATTGAATGTTCAGTGTATTTCCAGCATGGGGCACTGAAGCATTAATATATTTAAATATATATGTATATTTTGCTGCAAATACAGGTCTCTTAAGAAGCTTGGAACTGTAGTTTGAGGCTAACGTGTTTGCTTTCCATAGCGTAACTGTTCTCACCAAAGACCAACACCAGGAGCAGCGGTGACTGCTCTTTACCACGTAGGGCCCGTCACAGGTGGTACGTTACTAGTTTGCCCGAAGTAAATGTGTAATTTGGAGAGACCCTTTGAATACTCTAAGTGAATTTGTTCCAAACGGGTGTGCGAGCTTGTGAGTCTGTGTGTACGTATGGGCACATGTGCTTCAGTGTGCGTGCATCACTTGTATATACATGCCCTTTTGGTCACATTCAGTTCTTCCTTATTAACCCTTTTTCAGGCAGGTTGCTCTCTTTACCACCTTAACAACTTAGGAATATTAATTTTTGTTAAAATTCTGTTTTAGAAAGTGTTGTGGTCGATGATGGATCATTCTTGATAAGTTTGTTGGGTAATAACTGGACAGAAGAATGTGAGCAGTCACAGGGCTAGGCCCGAGCTGAGCGCGTGGACTTGGACGTGCTTTTTGTCCCATGGGTGCTGCACAGGACATGGTGTGCGGGACCGTGGCCAGTCCTGCCGGTCCCCAGGCCCCGTGTTCCTGGACGGGAAGGTGTGTGGGGGGCCCTCCAGGACCCTCCCCGTCCCACACTTGGAGATGACCTCATCTGGACAGAGATTCCAGGCTGTGGTGTTGAAATGTCACTTGCTCTCGTCCACAGCACAGAGAATGCTGGTTTTACCCAGTCTTGTGACGTTTCTCCTATGTCTTGATGCTCTTCCTGCCCTTCTCCGCTGCTCCTGTATCAGCGGGTCATGGATGGCAGGGTCGTGACCCCAGCAGGGGCCCTCAGACCCTGTGATCCTCAGACCAGTGGTTGGGGACGGAATGCAGCACCAAGAGCCATGCTCAACTCTGATCTTCTTGGTGACTTTTTCCTACAGGAACCCAGCTCTCCAGACAGAGCCGGTGGTCTTTGATGGGTTTCTGGCCTGGGGGGCATTCTGTTGAGGGGTTTCAGTGAGGGGAGGACCCCAAACAACATCCCAGACACAGGCCAGTGTTCCTCAGGGAAGGGCTCCTCCAAACACCTACCAGATTTCACTCTGGACGGATGGTGCTGCCTGGGGCAGGCTCGCAAGGCCAGTCTTTCCAGCTTGTACAGCCTCTAAAGTTGTGAATAAATGTGTAACTTGTCACCAGTAACTTCCAGCTTTTACAACAGCCTGTCTTCACAGCTACTTTCTTTTTCTGCCCTTGCTGTGTGCCTGGCGCCTTTCCACGTTCCCCGAAGCGCGCAGCAGCGCTGCGTGACAGGTGGTCCTGCTGAGGTGGGAGGGCTGTGGGGGCCACATGGGCACCAGGGAGGAGGCCCGTGGCCTTGCTGCCGCTCAGAGGCTGCCAAACCAGATGCTGAACGTGAACACTGAGGAGATTTTGCCTCAAGAGATGGATGCCTTCAGTGGGAGGACCCACTCCACCCAGCCTGCCCCTGTGCAGGTCCCGGCCTTCGGTCCTTTCCCGCAAGCCGCCATGATCTGGCTCACAGCCTGGGGATGTGGTTATTCTCACGGCAGATATAAGCCATCTATAGATTACTAGAGAACTTAGTATGATGGCCGCCCACAGAGAGTGCGAAACCGGGAAGTGCAGGATGTCTTCTCTCGCCAAGTCCTCACAGAGTCACTTCAGTGTATGGTGAACACGAGCAATCCTTGACAGTTTGTACTGAAAATGGAGCAGAAGTGCATTTTACAGAGTAATTCATGGCTCTGTGTGTATTTATATGTATTTAAGTTGGATAGAATGAAATTGCACATGTAAATAGGGGAGAATCCACCATTTCTAGTCCGTTGTTTTATTTCTCATCTCACTTTGAACTCTCTCGATTTTCATCTTTCTGATGTTCCTTCCAGTAAGGAATACCCTTTGGAGAGTTCTCCGCCAACCAAAGTCCACAAGCAGCATGTCCTCGCGCACGGGCCGGCCGCTGCGAGCTGCGTCCAGTACTCAGGTAGGCCGCGCCCGGGGCCGCCCTTCGCTGTGTTTCCAAGGGTCCCTCAACTGCCACTGTTCTGTCGTAAATAGAGCTTTAAAAATCTTGGTTGCGTGAAGTTTTCTGGCATTGTTTGAGTCTGGATTAAAATCAAAGCTCACATTGCCCTTGAGCGTACTGGCATTATTAGGGCATTCCCGCTCGCGCTGGCCGCTGCTGTAGACGGGAGCTCCTGGATTTGGAATTGGGAGGCTCGGCCAGATCTGTGCTGTGTGTGTGTGACCCTCTCCTCTGTAGTGTTGGAGGGAGCCGCGAGGGGGTGGGGGGCTGGTTCGCAGACGGTGGAGGAGACTACTCAGGGCAGATTACCTCAGTGTCCTCTGTGGTCACCATCCCTCCTCAGATGGAGCCTCTCCTGCAGGCCCAGCGCGTCTTGGGCTGGTGATGGCCATGTTCTCTCAAGCGCGTTGAAATGCCTCTGCCAGACTCTTTTCTGGGCCTTCAGCACTTTTCCTAAGTGAGTTTGCAGGAAGTGGGGAGCAGCTCCCGTCCAGGTGGCTCTGCGATCTGAGCTCTTTGTTCAGAAGCACACGTTGTTTCTGGTTTCTAGACATACCTAGAGGTGAGAAGATGTGTTTGCCCTCAGTCCAGTGGCTAGAAGGCCACCCCTCAGCATTTTGAGGGCATTCCTGCAGGTTTCATTACTTCCAACTATGCGAAGTTCCCTTCGTTTTTCATGTAAGTTTAGCCAAAGCATGTTTGAGTGATTTTGGGAAATAAGATACATAATATCATCAGTAAAGTACCTTTGTGGTGTGAGATGGTCTTGCTTATTTATGATCATGTGATTGTATGATATGATTAGAAATAAAGTAGGAGCTCCGCGAGTTGGAAAATCTTGGGGGGGTGTCTGTAACTTAGTTCTGCCCTGTGTTAGGGATAGGTTTAAATATTCTTGTGTAGCTGAATACTATGTGTCTTAAAATCTGTTGATGGGAGGCAGGGTGCCCTGGGGTTTAGGGTTCTCTGGGTTCAGAACCCCATGCTGACTCTGACTAGCCCTGTGGCTCCTAACTCCCAGGTCCTCTCTAAAGGACATCCTGGGGGATGCCACCTGGTGGACCCTCAAAGTGTGGTGGTTAGCCATTGAGCAAGTGCTGTTTTAGGTTCCCTCACAACCTGAGGGATGTCAAGTTAACTACAGATTCTATATTTACCTGTTGCAAGTGTGACTCCTGTGAGCTGTGATCTTACAGGGCTCTCTCTTACCGTGTTTAAGCAGGGGATGGATGGTGGCTTGCCTGTGGCTTAGCCAACCACTCGCTGGTCTTCCGTGCTGATCTCACTGGGACACCTGCTGTTTTTTCAGGTATGATGTGTGTTAATTTTAGTTACTATACATTTATGGGTGGGTCTCCTTTTGGTCCTGGGTATCAATTGCTCTTCTCTTTAAGATCAGACTGGAGTAGAACTAAGGCTTGCATGGAGGTTTAGCAAACCAGATTGGCCCCACTAAACTGGGCAGAAGGGGTGTAACCAGGAAGGCCAGGCTGCAGGGGTTCTGTCGCAGTGCCCCATGGTCAGGGAACTAAGCTTCTACGAAGTTGCTGGGGAGGGGCAAAGTCAGATCTTACAGACATGACTAAAGCACGTTTGGAAAATTAGGAGGGTTTGTACACAGACATTTTTATAAACGTAACGAGGTGAGGATGTTTCTCGGGTGAGTAGATTTGAGGTGAGGGCAGAGGTGTTGGAAGTCTTGCTGTTGTAGCTTCCTGACAGATTCTGAGCTACCCCCACTCTCGGTCAGGCTCCTGGAGCCTCTCGCTGCAAGGCTCACACTTGGTAGATATTTTAGCAACAACAAAAACACAAAAAAAACCCCCAGAAATGCTACCGGTCCAAGTGTTTCTGTGAAGTAGAGGAGGGGGCACCTGGCGGAGGGGGTGAGGCGCAGACATGGTGGGTGGAGGGGGGCAGGAGCATGCTCCACAGCGTTCCTCCAGACTCGGGTACCTCCGGAGTCTACAATGGGCCTCCTGACAGCATTGGGGGCCTTCTGGAGGGCGGCTTCCCGGCCCAGAGCCACATCATCCCCTACGCTCCGTGGCTCCTCCTGGCTTCAAACTGTTGTTCTGAAGGCTCCTGTTAAGGCACCTTGCATGTGCCTGGGATTCCGCCTGGGTATCTTTCTATCACTCAACAATTGATAGAAATGGCAATTATGTTGGATGTGGATGTTTCTCTATCTGTTTTATTGCAGGAATAGGGCTTGTGGCTGAATTCAGATAATGCAGGAGATGTTCAAACTTGCCTTTTAAAAAAGTGCCCTGTTAGTGTTTTGGGGAAAAGTGTCATTCTTACCCACCCCACCTGCTCTAGGACACCATTCCGCCTTGTACTGCTGGGTTACTAGTCATACGGTTCAACTTTGAAAATACGATTCCTTTCTCCACACTTGACACAAAAAGCAGGAAAATGGGCGCTTTAATATTCATCACAATCTAGGACAAAAGAGGCCAGTATAATCTGGGTATTTTGTTGTGGTTAAAATTAGATGCTAAGTTAGAATCCCCTCCTAGAGAACTCAGGACTGGGTCCCAGGAGAGCACAGCCAGCTGTGCATCCCAGCTTGAAAGCCAGTGGTCACAACTGCACTGAATTCAATAAGGGCTTCATGTTTGTGCTTTCGAATGTGGAACGCCGCCCATCACACCTTGTTGTCCAGCACAAGCATCGTGGGGACCTTGCTTCCGTCCCTCAGCGTGTGCTGGGCACAGAGCAGATGCTTGAGGACACGGGTGGATGGATCTGAGCACATTGCAGGAGGATGTGCCCAGGGCTGAGGGGTGTAAGAGTGGAATTCTGGGGCCAGCCCCTTCACAAGATTAAATTTAGTTAAGATTTTATTAAATATTATGGAGTTGCTTAAAAACCAATTCTGAAAAAAGGGTGGACTTGAGCTCAGAACATCTTGCTTCCTGGTGTTAAGTTCTCAGTCTGCTTGATCTCGGCCACACTCTTGCCATCCTGCGTTCCTTCTCTGTGGCGTCGGGGGTCACACACCTCAGGCCAGGCCCTGGCTCCAGGGAAGGAGAGGACTCAGATGTGTCTTGTGTCCTGTTCGTTCTGTTCCTGAGGTTTATCCCCGCAGTGTGCATGCCGCAGGGGAACCTGCCATCCAAGGTGCGAGGCCGTCAGTGTGGTTCAGTGAGAAGGCAGTGTGTGCAGCGTGGAGCTGAGCTGAGAGGAGGAAGGAGGAGCCCAGCCGAGGTCCCTGCTAGGCACACCGGCCGGCTGGAACTGGGGTCCCCGCGCCAGGCCTTGCGGTCACTGCTGCTTGTGTGCAGGCTGGAGCTCGGAGGAGGAGGTCGTGTAGTGTTCTCATTCGGAGTCAGAGGGGTCTGTCCCTGCCCTACCAGCTGCTGCACTGGGTGGGCTCATCGATGCCCCGGCGATGCTTGGGGGTCAGCAGAGGGGTGCCTGTTTAGGGTTTCTGCGATAAGAGCACTTCGGCCTTCTTTGGTAACAAAGCTGACCTTGTCTGGGCGCCCAGGCTCAGAATACTGGTTAGCAGAGAGGGCTGGCAGGACAGAGGAGGGTGTCCCCAGTGCAGTGGATCACCACTTAATTGGGAAGAATTACACCCAGCTAAATGGTGGTGACTTCACTGCGCGTGTCCCTCTGACTCGTGGCTTGTTGGCCTTGTCACTGCCGGGTGAGGCGGTGGCGGTCTGAGCTCCCCTATGCGATGTCGAGGAAGGGAGCCACTGAGCTGGGAATACAGGTGCATCTGCAGGTGCCAGGCCAGAACAGGCAGAGCCGCCTACCTGTCACGCCCTCACCCTGGGCCTGCGGCCGGGCCCAGAGCACCTGGGACGGAGTGGGTGGTTGCGGGTTCTCAGACACACTGACCTGCAGTGAAGCGTCACAGGTGCCATCCCTGGTGTCCCCGGCCTTGCTGCTTTTCAGCAAAGCAGCGATGGTGCGTGCAGGCCTGCAGCCTAGCGCTGGGGCCTCCGTCCTTCTGGTAAAACCCCCAGAAACCTACACCAGAGGGCAGCAGAGCTGTTTCCTGGGAAATCCGGCTCTGGTTGTCCTGGGTTGCGGTGCCTGTTCTATAAATCCCTCCTGCCGTCTCCACCTCTTCCGTGTTGGTTCTCCGGCGGGTCAGCCCCTCACTGTCTCCTCTGCGGTGGTCCAGCCTCAGCAAGAATGTCCTCACGGGGGCACTGGCTTCCCTGCACGTTCGGTCACAGAGTGCTTGAGCCGGAGGCTGGCACGTTCCCGGATGCACTGCCGCGTCTGCGGGTCCCCTCTCCACCATCCGGGCCAGACGCGGGGCCCGCAGGGAAAGGCGGCTTTGCTGTGCCTCTGGGGTCCCTGGGCCCATCCCCGTACCCCGTGTGGTACGGCACGGTCCAGACTCCCCAGCTGTGCCGTGCGGGGGGCGCTCGCACCGCAGCCTGGCCTCTCTGTCCCTCTCCACTCCAGAAAGCCCACGGTTCTCATTTCCCCAGCGGCCTGGCTCTGCCTGTCCTTGGGCTCCTCTGCTTCCCAGCGCGGCTTGAGCTCTATCTGTAATTTTTTTTAAAGATTTATTTATTTATTTATTTGACAGAGACTCAATGAGAGAGGGAACACAAGCAGGGGGAGCGGGAGAGGGAGAAGCAGGCTTCCCGGGGAGTAGGGAGCCCGACGCGGGGCTCGGTCCCAGGACCCCGGGATCGTGACCCAAGCCGAAGGCAGACACTTAACGACTGAGCCACCCAGGCACCCCTGGACCCAGCAATTCTTATTTATTTATTTATTTGACAGAGGGAGACCCAGCGAGAGAGGGAACACAAGCAGGGGGAGCGGGAGAGGGAGACGCAGGCCTCCCGCCGAGCGGGGAGCCCGACGCGGGGCCCGGTCCCAGCACCCCGGGACCGTGACCCGAGCCGAAGGCAGCCGCTCAACGGCTGAGCCCCCCAGGCGCCCCCCTGCCTCTTACACTGCCGCGTTTTGTGTTTCCACAGTCGGTGTCTTTCCAAGCACAGACGCAACTCTGAGCTGCGTGTCGCGAACACTCGTTTTGGAAGCCCCTCCTTCGCAGACCGCACTGAGCCCGACAGGCATCCCCGGGCCGGCGCTCTGCTCCCGAGCGGCCGGTCCTGCGGGCTGCAAGTCCAGGGGCCCCGGTGCTTGTGTTCCGTCGGGGCACGACGGGCAGCGCGCGCCGCGTGCGGGAGCCGCGCCGGCCGGGACGCTGCGGCTGTGGTCCCTCCGTGGGGCGGAGCTCGCGCGGCGTGCGGCGAGGCCCACGCCGGCCCCGGCGGCGGGCCGGCAGTCCCGGAGGCGGGCGTTCGCGGGGCCCGGGCCTGCACCCTCACGCGGAGCCTGGGAAACGGCTGAACCGCAGGGGCTACGCGTACCCACGGCGGTCAGTGCGTCAGCGTCTTGGCACGCGTGTGCGCCTGCGCACTCACACGGGTGTCGCGCGCACGCGGACACGCGCGCACGCGCACGCACACTCCCTTACGTGGGAGCGTTTCCACGCGCTTAGGGGAGACCGTTTGGAGACGACGGGAGAGGCCGGAGGGCGGTGGGGATGACGTCGCAGCCGAGGCGGGAGACGGAGGTGGCAACGGGGCCGCGCCCCCGCGGGTCAGATGGTCCAGGCTGTGGTTACCGCCTGCGGGGGTCACTGTGAAAGGGGCCTGGGTCCTGGGAAGACTAGCCAGGGGGCGCCTGGGTGGCCCAGCCGGTTGAGCGGCTGCGTTGGGCGCGGGTCGTGATCCCAGGCTCCTGGGCTCCCTGCTCGGCGGGGAGCCTGCGTCTCCCTCTGACCCTCCCCCTCTCGTGTGCTCTCTCTCATTCTCTCTCTCTCTCAAATAAATCAATAAAATCTTTAAAAAAAAAAAAAAGACTAGCCAGGAAGGGAAGTCCTCAGCCCGGGGACCCCGGGACAAGGCGTTTGGGAGCAGCTTCACGGGGACGGGTCTGCTTTAGGGTCGTTGACACTGTCGTCTCCCACATGTCGCTGACGCCTCAGAACTGTGTTCCATGGTTAATACTTACCTTTAATAAAATCCTCACTGCTTAATATGCTCACTGCCAAGATCAGTTTTATTTTAAAGTTTTTAAATGGCTGGGATTCAAAATACTCATTACAGAAACATTTCAATCGTGTGACATCTTTCAGAAGCAGTCGGGAAGAAGAAACAAAATGGGGAACCGGTTCTAAGGATGAGTGTCCACGTGTAGAGTCTCCGTGTGTGTCTTGTCTGCCTCTGTTACGTTGGCCGTGATTGCTGATTCACGTTCCAGGGCAGAGATGTGTTTTCCAAGTACGTAATAGACACTTCTATATTGTCGTCTTCGGGCCCGAACTCCAGCTCCTCAAGTACCACGTCGACACGTGCAAGGATGAGATCCAAAGGTGCGTAGCCTGCTCTTCGCTTCCTTTCCCTCCATGGTCCGGGGGAGCCGTGTTTCCTACTGGGTCGTATGTAAATAGAGGGTTTTCATTTACGCATGTTGTGCAAAATTGAATCACCTCACCGCAAGCTGCTGGTGAGAGCCGAGGGACAGGCTTCTCCCTCCTCAGAGCTCGTCTGCAGTGCCGCACGCGGGGGCCTTGGTGTGACGAGAGGCCCCAGGGCTTCGGAACGTGGAACTCTTACCGTGGTTCAGCAACGCATCTGATTGATACTACGTGGGACGATCCTACTGTTTGTAGTGAAGTTAAAACAGGAAATGTTTCATACACACACGCACGTGCTAAATATACAGACGGAACACCTGTTCACATCTCCCTGTGCAAATATTAACATTTGTTTTGCTTTCAAATTTTTTGAAGAAATAAAACATTATGGGGTAATTAGTGGCCTGCCTTCCTGGGCCAGTTCCCACCCCCTCTTTCCTCTGCTTTTTTTTTTTCCTTACCATGGTAAGTGTAGCTACCATCTGTCACCTTCCAGAGTACCCAGTACTGTTCACTGTATTCCCTGTGCTGCACTCCCATCCCCAGGACCTATATGTCATAATCCCCTTCCCCTATTCTGCCCATCCCCCCACTGCCCCCCGCCCCTCCCTCCTGCCAGCCACCAGGTTATTCTCTGTATGTATGAATCTGTTTCTGTTTTGTTGTTGTTATTCTTTTGTTTTTTAGGTTCCACATATAAGTGAGGTCATAGGGTATCTGTTCTTCTCTGACTTATTTCACTTAGCATAATACCCTCCAGGCCCATCCTTGCTGCACATGGCGAGGTCTCATCCGCTCTGATGGCCGATCAGTATTCCACCGTATATATATACACCTCATCTTCTTTATCCGTTCGTCCGTCCGTGGACACCTGGCTGCTTCCAGTCTTGGCTGTTGTAACTTTCCTCGTATTGAGATTGGTGTGTTTGCTTCCCATCCATGGTTTATATTTGCTAATGCAACACACCTTTCATAATAATCAGGATTCTGTTTCTGAGGTTTAGCCGTGCCTGTGAGTGTGACTTCAGACTGTTCGCAGCAGCTGTTATGAAATTCTCTACAACGGGTAGGTGCCATAGCGTCTTCACCCATCCTGTTGTTGCCGGAGACCCGGCTTCTTCCGACGCGCCCCATGCTCTAACCAGTGCTGTGCTGGATTTCCTTGTGCACGTGTGGACGCGGGACCGTGCGGGGTGATTTCAGACTCGTCTGCTCTGTGCCAGCAGTGAGCTGTGTGTCGTACACACAGTGAGGGTGGGTTTTGTCTTTCTCCGGAGGCTGTCTGTCCTTGCGTCCTCTCTGCAGGGGATGCCGTGCCGTCTTCCTTCCTATAACTAAGTACCTGATGGTGGTGTTTCGTGTCAGCCTGGAGCTGAGCCATCTGGAGGGAGGAGGCTCACAGGCTTGAGGACTGTGTGCCGTGCTGTCCTGCTTTTCAGTTGGTTTCCAGGTGGCGGCTCTGGCTCCAGGCGTCACATCCATATTCTTACAGCAACATGAAGGGGGAGACTGTGCTGAAGCCGGCAGGCGGCGGGCCCCTGGGAGCATCCCAGGCCCTGGGGGCTGGGACCTGCCTTAGGAACGTGCAGGCAGGGATTGTCAGAGTTTATTTATAAACTGGGCAGATTGCTGCGAGACTTCCCTCACCCATCAGACGCATGGCGTCACCCCCACATCAGCGCATCTGTGCTCTTACTGTGGGGCACGTGAGTCTGAGTGGGCTCGTGTTTCTGGAGTCTGAGCGCAGGGTCTGTCTTGCGAATCACTGTGGGTTCTGTTTCATCCCCGGTCCCTTGTGCCCATCGGGAGACCTGTGGGCAAGTTTTCAGCTTAGTAGCCTTATTGGGTAGCTTTTTAAGTGTGAAGGAGGAACACGCATGGCAGGTGCCCCCGGATCTCAGCCAGAAGATTGGCTTACTCTTAGGTCAGCCACTTGGCCAAGAAACATGTGCTGAGGCCAGGATGGATTTGGCTCAGGTGTGATGTATCCATGGGGTCCCAGCTGCTCCTGAGCAGGACGCGGGCGCCGTGGCCGAGCAGACAGCAGAGTGCCCAGGGCTCCCTGTGGCATTACCCCTGCAGCCTCCTGGCCCGTCTCCTGAGGCTGTGGTGTGGCATCATGTGCCTGCTGCGTCTTACTAGCCTGCTTTCCACTGGTGTGAGTTTGGGGCCAGGTATTAGGAACTGAATGGTTACTGGTTGTTGCAAGCCTGGTGTTTTTAATGTCTTCACATTTTTGATAATGCAGTTCCTTGGAAAGAAGTACTGTGTTTGCAGACTACTTCCGGTCCAGCAGCCAAAGCTGGGACGTGGAGATGGCCTTCACACCGGATTCCTTCCGGGCTGGCCTCGCACGTGCTTAACATGGCCCTTTGCGAGAGGTCTGACCCTCCAGTGGGTGGTCATGCGCAACCCGGGCGTCCTCACCTCCTTCTGTCTGGGGAGATGCCCCATGGAGGTTGTTGGAGAAAGGCCCTTCCCCAGGCCTGCTGCTTGCTTGGGCTACGGCTGCCTTCCCCACTTAAACGCCCCCATCAGCTGGGGGTGGGGACTCTTGGAAACTGGCAAGGCTTCAGAGGATGGGACGCCAAACCTCACACAGGCCGCAGGCATGAGCGCCCCTCAGCAAAGCTGTCTGTCCCTCGGGCAGGGCTCCTGCCGGCCCGTCAGCGCTTGCCTTGGCCCTTCTCCCCTGCCCATCCCCTCCCTCTGAGCTGAAATGGGCACGTGGCCCACTATGTCACATGAATACCTGTGCCTTAAACGGGTACTGTCCCTTCCCCCGTCCCACCTCACCGCCATGCCCTGTGATTTCAGCTGTGCATGTTCTCCCTTGGCTTGCGTGATCTTTCTGACGTGCCTCTCCTGGTCTGTGGTGTCCGCAGAGCTTCTCCGCAGCTCTCCCCATGAAGCGGCTGCTTTCTGCTCCATGAACCACCTACTGTATGATCCGTGCAGTTTTTCAGCAGGAATAATTTGTGGGATCTTTGCGTTGTCACTGAGCTTCCCTTCAAACCTCTCCTGCGACTCAGCTCCATCTGTCCCTCGAGTCTGTGTGGGTGACCCCCACATCGCCGTTGCCCCAGGACCTGCTGAGTCACGCCTCTGGATGCCCATCTCTGTGCCTCCCCTGCATATATGGCCCCAGGTCCCCATGCAGCACTCACTCTCCTGTGGAAGGTACAGGCTGATGGCCTGCTCATCCTCCCTCTCAGCACCCAGCAGGCTCAAGACACGGAGCCCTCCCGGCACTTTGCCCCATCCCGCACCTGCTCCTGCCCCCCGGGCCACCCCCAGAGATCTCCCCTGGGCCTCCCTGGGCCAGGATCACACTGTAAGATTGCTAGCGGGTTCCTTTCCTTTATAAAATTATTGTTAGGGATTCTTGAGGTCGTATGTTTATTAAACCAATGCTGACTGCTTATGTTACCCTTTAGAAAATATTAACAGCGTTTGTGTTAATGGAAATATAGATAATTTATAACCGGTTGGAAGTCTTCTTAAGTATATATAATTATTTTAGAATTAGGAGAAAAATTTGCTTTCTCATAGACAAGAATGAATTATTTGGGGATTTATATGATATTTTTTCATGAAGTTTTCTTTCTTTTTTTTTAAAAAAAATTTTTATTATGTTATGTTAATCCCCATACATTACATTATTAGTTTTAGATGAAGTGTTCCATGATTCATTGTTTGTGCATAACACCCAGTGCTCCATGCAGAACGTGCCCTCCTCAATACCCACCACCAGGCTAACCCATCCTCCCACCCCCCTCCCCTCTAGAACCCTCAATTTGTTTTTCAGAGTCCATCGTCTCTCATGATTCGTCTCCCCCTCCGATTTCCCCCCCTTCATTCTTCCTCTCCTACTATCTTCTTCTTTTTTTTTTTTTTTTAACATATAATGTACTATTTGTCTCAGAGATACAGGTCTGTGATTCAACAGTCTTGCACAATTCACAGCGCTCACCATAGCACATACCCTCCCCAATGTTCATCACCCAGCCACCCCATCCCTCCCACCCCACCCCCTTTTCATGAAGTTTTCTTAAAGGAAAATTTAGAGTTTCCTAAAGGAAAATTAAGGTAGCTGACTTATTCCTTCGATGTTATAAAATATAATTATTCAGTAATATGAAAACTTTCTTCATATTCAGCTTTTTAATTGTAGAATGCTTAATTGTGGGAGAGAAACAAAGATCAATTATCTTTATTTTTCTTTCAGATATAAACAGAAGAGTAGGTGCAAATGTGTCTTCAGGCTTCCCACGACTGGTATGACAGAGATTACCAGTTTATCAGCTGTAAACGACTTCTATTCCTGTATCCTTGCCTCTGCTCTTGGTTTTCACATCCTGAGCGTCTGCCGAGGGCCCAGGGAGCTCACATCTTCTGCATAATTATATGTGTAGTGATTTCATCTCTGGTGAAAAGAGCTTCAGAGGAAAACTAGACGTGGATGCAACAGAGCATCTAACCCAGTATTTCTGGTCTGTAGTTTATTGTATGATATGTAGTAATTTAGTACTTTTTAAAAATGAACTGCTACACCTATGGTGGGTGGTATCCTTCCATTAATGGAAGTTTGCCCCAGCTCTGTGGAGGATGGCGGAAGTTACAGCCATAATGCTGAAGATGAAATTGAGTCTCGGGGCGCCTGGGTGGCTCAGTCATTAAGTGTCTGCCTTCAGCTCAGGTCATGGTCCCAGGGTCCTGGGTTCGAGCCCCACATCGGGATCCCTGCTTCTCCCTCTGCCACTCCCCCTGCTTGTGTTCCCTCTCTCGCTGTGTCTCTCTCTTCAAATAAATAAATAAAATCTTAAAAAAAAAAAAAAAAAGGAGGATGGCAGAAGTTACAGCCATAATGCTGAAGATGAAATTGAGTCTGAAGTTTATTTTTTGACTTTTTTTGGCTAGCATCATCCCTTTTAATTAAAAGCATCGATTTTGATTTATTTAGAAGAAAAGCCCTGATCTTTAGGAATTCATCTTATAAAATTTTAAGTTATTCAGAGGTCTAAGTTATGTTCTTCTGGAGAGTTTTATAGTTGAAATTCAGAAGAACTGATATAAGGTATTAGAGGTTCTAGTGTAATTAGAAATGTGATATTTTTTTGCTAGACCCTTGGCTAACACACAACACAACACTTCGCAGGAATGTGTCCTTCTGAGTATTCTGGCCTTGAGTGGTGGTTTCTGCATATTTCAGTGTTAGCACTGGGTTTATTATCGAATCTGGTAATCTTTCTGCCATATTATTTTTATTTCCATTCTATTGATGACAGTGTTCTGGGCTGAACTTGGGAGGTTGGCTAGTTCTGGTGGTCACATGAACCCTAAGTTCATCAACTGCCGCTCTTGTCCCACGTGTAGAAGTTAGCGATGCTCAGCCAGTGGTATGCCATGCTGGGAGTTGTGTGCTCTCGTGCGGCCGGCTCTGGGCGGCACTGTCCACGTTTATGGTTGCATTGCCTAATTTTACCTTCAGACCTGTCTTCTGAGCTCAGTACCCGTAGATTCAGCTGCCGTTCCATCTCTTGATTGGGGCATTTCCTGGACACCTTGAACCTCATGTCACTGAAGTTAGACCTCTGGGCCTCCCGCCTGGGGGTGTGTAGCACCTGGGTCTGCCCTTGTCCACGGCCCAGCAGCTCCTGCCAGATGCCCAGGACCAGAGGGGGAAGCGGGGCTGTGAGCACAGCTTCTGTGGAGCTTCAGGCGTCGTAGCCACAGTCATCCTGTGTGTCTTCCGGTGCGTCCCAAAAGTCCTAACAGAATACGCGGGGCTGCTCATTCCCGGTGATGGATCGCTGAGAGGAGTTCCCTAACTGAGTCATGCAGATCTTGTGCTCACAGCTGGCCGGAACAGGACTCTGGAAGTTTTTGACCTCAATGCAGGTCGCAGCGCAGCCACAATCGTAGAAGCCCATTCACGGCCTGTCCACCAAATCTGCCAGAATAAAGTGAGTGAGCTGTCGACAGCACATATCATTTGTAGAATTGTATGTCTAAGCATTTGACTCGTACAAATGCCTGATGCAAGTTTGTACCAGTGCTACCAAATTCAATGCTAATTTTTAGTTATCAGTTTTCTAAGCCTTGATGTTTGACCTTAGAAGATAGTTTAATATCATATGGAATGTTAATTTTTGTACTTTGGTCTTTGATTGTTTCATGGGCCTATTTTTCAACTTTACTAGTAATGCATTCACACTTAAAACTTGATGGAGGGTTTGGGTGTTTCAGACACTAAAGGATTGAGTGAGTCATGTAGATCCTCCTGGAATGTGAAGCGGCCTTCAGAAATCAATAGTTTTTCTTTTTAAGAAGTACCTACTCTGTTTTGTTGGAGTAGTACTTTAAAACTACCCACAGCTGAGGGTTACAGACTCGAGATTAGAGGAGGTGCTGTTTTGACGAATTCATTGTCTCACAGTTTAGTTTAAAAGACACTTTGCAACCCAAAAGGCATCTAAGACATTGTGAACAAAACTTCTGTTTTTAAGACTGCAACTACTTTGATATATTTGGAATGACTTTATAATGTCTTCTGAAATCTGCATTATGATTTCAAGGGAATCATTGTTCTTTGTTTTCTGGGTTTTTTTAGAGGGAGGGAGGGGCAGAGGGAGAGAGAATCCTAAGCAGGCTCCACCCCCACCGTCACCACCATCACCAACACCATCATCCTCACCATCATCATCATCATCACCATCATCATTTTTTGTGTATGGAAAGTGGTTTGTCAACATTTCCATTATAAATCCCTATTTTTCTTTTATTTGTTCTTTATTTCTTTCTCGGATTTATCACAGAGCCATGAAAACTTCCATCTAGATGAAACTTGGTATGAAAATCTGAAAATCTCAGTCTGATGTTTATTTTTTCCATTTGGTTCCATATTTGTTTTAAATTGTTTCAGCTGGTTAAATTGGAAATACAAAATACAGTTTTGGAGTTTTAAATGCTTTTTACTTACAAAAAACAAAACCCTAGTTTTAAAATAATGGTAAAGATAATTCTTTTGAACTAAACAATTTTCTCATATTTTCAAAAGAAGTCATTTCATTTTGAAAAACGATGTGATGCTGTTTTGTCTGACATCTTGGGATTTTCTATTTCCAGCCCTCTGTTCCCATTTCATGGTAGAAGACTTTTAAACCTTTTGCATTCCTTACTTTTCTCTGTTGCAGAGATTAAATAAGATAATGCAGGTAAATCTCTTAACATATTCTCAGTTCATTAAATGACAACCATTCTTCCTATTTCTTTAAATATAAATTTATGAAAGTTGGTGGGCCTTGCCTTAAAAAGTCTCTCTTTTCTGATGCACCTAATTTCACACAATCCCTTTGTTCCTGTGAGTGTTAAGGATAAATGCTCAAGAATTTGCTACTTGCAGTAGAAGATCAGAAGCTGAAGTAAGAAATTGCTTTCAAAGAAACTGTAACACAGAAGGTGGTAGGTGTGGACGTGGGTCATACTCATGCAGAGCTGACTGTGGCGAGTGCTGTCACATGAGATGAGAGTGTGGCTGCGGTCATGAGGACAGTCATTGTGTCCTGGGAAGACTGGAGAAGGCTGCATTTGACGGGGACTCTACCTTGTCACATATTATCAGACAGAACTTGATTTTAGGAGAGTTGTGAAGATACATAAAACAGGTTGCCTTAGCCCAAGCAGTTAGTGAGTTTGGGCTAAGAGCCAGGTGGTTCCTGTGCCCCGTGTGTCCTCACAGCCTGACTCCCATATGTAAACCCACGGCATGAACACCACGAGTGTGCCCAGCACTGCCTGGTCAGCACCCCCTGTGCAGTCTGTCCGTCCATCCTTCTGCCCTTGCCGCCACCCCAATCTGCTGTCTCCACAAGGGTCTTCCTCAACCCGTCACACTCCCACTGCTAAATACAAGTGACCATCTCAGTGTCTTCCTTGAAATCCCCCGAGGTTCCCAGTAACTCTTGGGATAGAATCAGACTTGGCCTGCAGGCCCTTGGGGCTCTCCTGTCTCATCCCTCTGTGGACTTAGGTCTCAGGCTGGGCTTATGCGGGAACCTGGGTTGCTGGGCCCAGGCCCTTTTCTGGTGCCATAGATGGCTTCTGTGGGATGCACTGAGCTCTGGCGACGTTTAGCTCCTGGGGGGCACTCCCCAGGACAGGAGGAGGCATCCCCCAGTGTTTGCCGTCACACTCTTACAGGTGTGCTCCCACGTGCCGGACAAGATGTGCTGAGCGTGCATGAACTCCGTCCCCAGAGAGTCCTAATGCATGGATGTGGGAGCCGAGACACGCAGCGCCAGTCCCCTGAGCTGCGTCAGCAGTGATTGTGCGTCTGGCCACGGAGCTCCCGGTCCAAACCCCAGTGGGGCGCTGTGGTCTGGGGGCCTCCGTGCTGCCTCTCTGTGTCCAGGCTTGGGGCTTCCCCACATCCTGATAACGAGCCTAATGAGCAGAACTGGGATCCTGTCACTCCACGCCTGCAACACTTCACCACGGCGAGCTCTTGGGGGATGGCTGAGACCGAGCATCCCGGTGCCTGCCCGTTTGTCCTCACCACTCTTGTGGCCTGGACCAGATGAGGACATGCAGGCACACGCGTGTGCGCACACATGTATGTGTGGGTGTGTGAGCATGTGTTTATCCATGTGCGCATGCATGTGTGTGTATGCATATGCATTAATCAACCTAGTGACGAATTCACCCAAATGTATGTGTCAGCGAGTCTGCGCCTGGCGCCGTTGTGCGCCCTGGGGTACGGGTGTGCAGGAGTGAACTGGTACCCTTGTGCGGAAAGAAGTGGGTTCACGCGGCATGGCATACCCTGTGCCCGGGCTCCTCTGGGCAGGTGAGGCGGGCCGCAGGTCCGTGGGGTACGGGGGAGCCAGGGTGCCTTGGGAGAGCAGGTTCAGGCCCACGTGGTGAGGCCCCAGGCGCGGGTTGGCGGCTCCGCGCCAGCCGGGCTTTCTTCCAGGCACGGGCAGCCGTGCAGAAGGCGGAGCGGGGAGGTGAGGGCCGGCGCGGACGCCCGCGTGGTGCGCGTGCGGGAGCGGCCCGGACACGGACGTAGCGAGCGTGCGCCCCTGGTTCCGGCTGGAGGGCCGCCCGGGGAGGGCGCTGGCGCTCTGCGTCCCCCGGTGGAGGGACGGGCTGGCGAGCGAGGAGGGGGCGTGCTCCCGAGCAGCGGCGCAGCTTGCGCGGATCCCGGCCCCGCGGCGCGCGGTGCGCCCACGGCCGCTGCCCCTTCGGCGGCAGGTGCTTCCCGGGCCGGGCCGCGCCGCGCCGCAGCCGGCGCCCCGTCCGCTCAGCACCTGCCGCGGCCCCGCTGCCTGCCCGGACCGGCTCGGGCCGGTGCGCGTGGGCAGGGCTATGACGCAGCCCGTTTCCGGCGCCGTGTCGGGCTGGAGGAGGTGTCCCCCCGAAGATGTGTGGTCCCTGCGCTGCGGGGGCCCGAGCGGATTCCTGGGCAGCTTCTCCCCAGACGCGCCGTGCGGACAGCGTCGTCAGCAGCCGCGCAAGGCCGCTGTGGCGACGGGTCGGCCTTGCGCCCTCGGGCGGCACGGTGGCCACCGCGTAGGTCCCGCTCACACAGCCTCTCGTCCTTACGGGTTTCGTGCATTTGCTTAGGAAACTGCTTGAAGTTTCTTCTCCATTAAGTAGCAGCGGATGTAATGACCAAACAGCAGCCCGATCGACCGCAAATTGATGTGGCCTTCCGGGGATGACTGTGGTATTTGGGGGATCATTGTGCTGTGCTCTTGGATGAGACGTGTTGCATTAGGAAAATAGTCCCGAGGTTTTTACTGGGAAAACAGCTGGTTTTACTTCTGAAAATACACTTCTGAATGGCATATGGTGGGAGGGCAGGGAAGGCTGTGCGGTTCCAGACGCTCACACTGTGTTCTAATAGCTTGTTTTTCTAAACTTCTCTTAAATCTTTGTTCAGTTGCACAACATACATCAAAGTGTTCTGACCAACCGCAGCCGTATGGGAGCCGCTACCCAGGAACGCTCATGTAACACAAATCCTAACTGGCCCGAATGCCCTATTTCCAGTAAAACATAAAATAGATCATTCCGAAGTCACACACCAGTAATGCTCTTTTTGCAAGCATCCCACGCACAGTCTGAAAACCACCTCTTCTGGGGATTGCCCCGCGATCGTTGTTGGAGAAGCAGACTAATTTTATCACGTTCACAAGAGTACATCAAAAATTGAGCGCCATATTTTCCTATTTTTAAATTGTGTTGTATCATTAAGTGGTTTATTTTTACAATGAAAATATATAAATCTTTTATGATTTACTGATCTCTTTAAAAATCATAGCTATTGTTTTTTCTGTATATATAATAAAAACTTGACTATTACTTTTTTCTACGCCTGAATAAGATATATGCATTTTTATGATGTAAATACACAATGCTATATAGCTAATTTGAATTGAAAAATTAAATATGTAATGGTTTAAATAGTTTTCTAATGAAAACATTTCATCACACAGAAAACTTTAGGTTTTCAGCAGTAATGGTCAGTGAAATCCATATGATTGCCTTAAGATATATTACTTTACTATCTTTAGATCTTGTATTTTTTTTTTTTTTTTAAAGAGATGAAATGCTTGTGGGGACAGACACAATTCTGCTCTGTATGTTTCTGTCTCATTCTTCTTTGATTACCACAAATGAATTTGGTGTGACTCTTTCCCAAGTACGCATCAAAATACGTTCTGGACTGTGTGATGGCAGCAAACTGTTCATATCTCTGTGCTACCTGATTTTTATTCACATTGTAGGAATGAATTTGACCCATCTTTATGCCTTTGCAATGTGTGCAGTGAAGCCTATGAATTTCCCTCTGAGTACCACTTTAGTTGCCCTGTACCGCTTGGAGCAGGTGCTATTTTTATTATTCAGTAGTTAACATTTTCTAATTCCCATTAGGACTTTTTTTAACCTAGACTTTATTTAGATGTGTGCTTTTAGGCTTCTACGTGTATGAGCTTGTTTTTGGTAAACTTTCTGTTACTGATTTCTGATTTTATGGCATTGTGTTTGGAGCACGTGATCTATATGGCACTGATTCTCTTCTACCTGTTGCGATTTTTGTATCTATTGAGAAACTTGGCTGTGTGGTTGATTTTTATGAGTATCATGTATGTGTGCGTGAAAAGAATATGTTCTCACCCACCACTGGGTACATGTTTGCATAGATGTCTATTGACCCAACCTTATTAATTGTATTCAAATTATTCAGGTTTCCTAATTTTTTGTACTCTCGATTGTTTTTTTTTTTTAATTAGAGAAATGTATTAATACCTCTCCCTGTGATTGTAATCTTGTCAATTTCTTCTTATAATTCTATTAATTTTTGCTCCGTATAATTACAGGCTGTGTAATTGGGCATATTTAAGTCAGACTTCTTATGTTTTCATTGCAGTGTTCCTTTTATAATATCTATAAACTATTTTTAATGAGGTCTTATTTGCCTTGTATCTATTTTTTCTAGTACTTTTGCAATCAATCTTGCCTTCTTTTATTTAGTATATGCTATTTTTCTCCCACCCTTCACATTCAGCCTTTAAAAGTGCTTTTTAAAAAAATTTTATTTATTTATTTGAGAGAAGAGAGAGAAAGGGAGCATGAGTGAGGGGAGGAGCAGTGGGAGAGGGAGAGGCAGACTCCCCTCTGAGCAGGGAGCCTGATGTGGGGCTCAGTCTCAGGACCCTGGGACCATGACCCGAGCTGAAGGGCAGACGCTCAACTGACTGAGCCACCCAGATGCCCCTAAAAATGATGTTTTTAGTGTTTTTCTTGAAATCCAACTAAGAATCTCTTCTTTTTTTTAACTTGTTGAGTTTAGTCTGCTTACAACTGGTATGCTTACTCACACATTTGATCTTATTTTGTGCATTCTCTTCTACATTAAAAAAAAACTTCTGTATTTTCTATTTATCATGGATTTTCTTTGCTTCTTCATTTCTTCTTCCTTAGCCTCAATTGGATTGACTGAAAAAAGGTTTTAATTCTCTTTTTATCCCTGTGAATGCTTTTGGTTTTTTACTGGTTAACTTCAAGAAACTAGCAATTTTGTAAGGTATTGTAACTCTGCCTTTCTGTTAAACTCGATCTGTGTCTCATTCCTAGACTCAGTGCCTTGCAAAGTGCTCAGTGTTTAGTGGATGATCTCTGGATGTTTGTTGGATGTCTGTTGAATTGTTTGGATGGTATGAGTTATCAAGGTGTCTTGACCTTGTGCTCGTTTGTGGACTGCTAAGCTATGTTGAATTGGTAGCTCGGTGGCGATGAGTGGATTCCTCTGTGTCGTGTTTCTCACCTGAAATGGGTATAAAATAGTTTACATCTCATAAGTTTGTTAGGAGGATGAAATGTTCAGTGTTCAGAATGCTGTTGGCACAGAGTTAAGACTCTCTCTGTTAGTTTGCTATTGAGTCTATGTACACCTTCATTTCCTATTTGTAACTGAAGAACAGCCTCGAGGTATGTGCACACTGTGAGGGTACGTACTTTCAGATGTACTTCAGTATATTTTTCTTAATAATTTGGTTATTCTTGGCATGGAAGGAAGATGGACATTGTCATGAACCACAATTATGTAATGTTTGGGTCCAAAAATGGTTCTGTAGGTGGAGTGCAGTTCAGCTCCTTCCAGGAGATATTTTAAGTCGCTGTGGCCTTCTGACTGCAGCATGAGGGGAGGTGATCAGATCAGAGGCAGGTCCTCAGAGGGACCCCAGCCAGGGACTGCACAGAGGCCTTAGGGTTTGATAACTGGCAGATTAATAACTGACCTCAAACTTCAAATGCCCCATTCAGGGCATCTTTCAGATAATTTATTGAAGATGGATTATGATCTATATTTAAAAATAAATTCTGGTATATTCATATTGTAGTCTTTTGATCTTTTATTGTACTTTTATAATTCTTGGTGGCATTTCATATATAGAAAACATACACTTCCTAAGGTCAAAATGTACCATTAGTAATTAGTCATAAGGAAGTTTTTGGAGGCCAATTCTGAAATTGTTATAAATAAGAAAAAAACCTCGTGTCAGTTTCTTACTTTAGATTCGCTGTTGTTAGATAGCATCAGTGTAATGTTTATTAATTCAGCCTTTAAAGAACACATCTTGTTTCCTCCCCTTACAACTCTAGGGATCATCATTCACGACCCAACAGCACCAGCTTTATAACCTTTTCGCCACCACAGCCACTGGGGATGGCAGAAAGCCGTGGGACTTGGGAACCCTGAGGTAAGGCCCGCCCTGGCCTGCAGGGGGCGCACGAGACATGCTTCTGTTAACAGCTCCTGAGGCACGTGGCCTTAGTGTCTGTAAACTCAGTCTGATCTCTTTTTTCCAAATACAACAAGGTTGTGGTGAACCTACTCATGCTGAGCCATCTAAGAAGAGTATGATTTATACACAGAACAGGTCACACCAATTTGGAGTGCTAACGTAAAGGGTGCTGGTCTTTGCTAGGCTTGTGCCTTGTGACCCCTGAGGGTCAGATATGCACAGGGAGGTAATGAGATGCTCATAAACTACAGTGATGCAAATGCATATATGTGTATGTTCCTGTTCTCTAAAAAAGATAATTCTGTTATGGGGAATAATCACTAAATATATAACGTAGATAAAAAAGTATCATCAATATTTGTGCGCACGCACACTTACAGACGGCAAGGGCGGAATGAACAGTGTCTCTGCTCTCCTCTGTAATCGCTAAGCGAATATAAAAGCCCCTCTGATGTGTGAGGGCGTGTTCCCTGAGCCCTCTCCAGGTGGGGCTCTGTTTGGCATCGTGGACCCCCTGGAGCCCAGCCATGTGCTGGTCAGCGCTTGCGAAGGCTCTCCTTGGGCAGCTCTGGCCATCCCCAAATAGGAGATTTTCTCAGGAAAACCAGCATCAATAAACAGGTTGTATGTAACACTTTGTAGCAAGTTGGTTGAGGCACCAGCCTTGTTAGAGTGTTGCGCCTCCCAGAAGTCTTTGAATCACTGATCCAAATAATTTATCATTTGAAAACGTTTGTTCTATATTTTTAAAGATCTTCAGAATGACCTGCTTGCCTTTAATTACTCACACGTGAGCATGCTATCTCAGTGCTGGTTTGCTCATTGTTGGGAAGACAGGCTACAAGTCAGTGTCTTTGCCCTAATTTGTGTTAAAAATAAAAAATCATTTTTTTCTCCTGATGCTTCTTCCTTTCCTATAGATGCGAGCGCTGTTTTGAAGGACATCCAAACCACGGATACCCATGTGGGACTGCTTTCAGCCCTTGTGGACGCTACGCGGCTTCTGGCGCGGAGGACAGACATGTAAGTGCCCTTGCGGTGTGTCGGTTGGTCTTCAGTCATGAGACCCTAGACTCATTCTTGTGGAAACTGGTTAATGTTGTCGCACAGGAGGATAAAAATCTGTTTTAATGAGAATAATGTGTACACTATGAAAGACCCTCATGCATTAATTTTGGTGAGGCATGATTATTTTTAACCTCAGTCACACGTTAGTTTATTTCTTTATTCATTTATCAATCATTGCACAAATTGCCTCTCATGTAGGAATTGCTGCATGCTGCATTTTCTGTGAATCACCAGGTAACAACACTAATGAGTAAAATACCAGATCAAAGTATTTAACTGGGAGTCTTCCTTTTTGATATCTTAGGGAACAATGTACTTATTTTATTATTATTTTTAACCTTCCAAAGAAGTGCCTTTATTTATTCACAGGGCTTAGGAAGGGAAAAGGCTCTAGAAAAAGGGAATTTCAGAATAGGCCCTGGTGCAGGGAGGACTTGGCAGGGTCCAGGCTGCCGTCTCCTGTGCTTTCTGGTGGTCACTGCCTGGTCGTGAGGACGTCCCGTGTCTCTCGGTGGCCAGTTTGGGCCCCAGTGAGTGGCTCTGATGACTTCTCAGCCCCCGCCCAGCACCCCCCAGGTCAGCCCCCCTCCGTCAGCGCCCCCGCCCAGCCCCCCACTCAGCCCGCCCCGTTCAGCCCTCCCCGTCCAGCCCCCTGCCCAGCCCCTGCCCTGCCCCATTCTGCTGCGCCAGCTCTTCATCCTACACGCGTGCTAAGGGCCCGGGACTCCTCGAGGCCGACGCGCTGGCGGTCTGTAGTCGCACGGTTGCGAGCCGCAGTGCGGGGGTGTCCCTGATCAGCTCCTACTTAAGGATCTGCTTGCTGGCGGCGCCTGCCCCCAGCCCCACTGCAGGCTGGCAGGACACCCCCCGCCGCCCTGCCGACTGGCCCAGCGTACTTACTTCGTTGTTTTAAATCGATTTTTAAATTTTTATTTATTTATTTATTTTAGAGCGAGAGAGGTGGGGGAGGAGCACAGGGAGGGAGAGAGAATCTCAAGCAGGCTCCACACCCAGCGTGCAGCCCAACTTGGGGCGCCATCTCACGACCCTGAGATCATGACCTGAGCCCAAATCCAGAGTCAGACGCTCAACCGGCGAAGCCCCCCAGGCGTCCCTCAATGTACTTATTTTAATGAAATTGCCTTCCCTTCCTCTCCCCAACATACCTTACATGTTAGACACACATGTCTTATGATGGATTTGGAATAGAGACTGATACATATCCATTTGTCCTCAACATATTTAAAAAGGTTTTGTGTTAGGGCGCCTGGGTGGCTCAGTTGGTTAAGCGCCTGCCTTTGGCTCAGGTCATGATCCTGGAGTCCCGGGATCGAGTCCCGCATGGGGCTCTCTGCTCGGCAGGGAGTCTGCTTGTCCCTTTGACCCTCCGCCCTCTCATGCTCTCTGTCTCTCATTCTCTCTCTCAAATAAATAAATAAGATCTTAAAAAGGTTTTGTGTTAGTTTCCTAGGGCTAGTGCAACAAATCACCATAAATTTCGCAGCTTAAAACAACAGAAATCTATTCTCTCAGTTCTGGAGGCTGCAGGTCTAAAAATCAAGGGGTTGGAGGGTTGGTTCCTCCTGGAGACCCTGAGGAACTGTCTGCCCTGGCCCCTTCCACTTCTCGTGCTGGCTGCCGATCCTTGGCATGCTTTGGCTTGGGGCTCATCAGTCCAGTGTCTGCCCCCATCTTCACACAGCTGTCTTCCCTGGTGTCGCCATTCTCCCTCTTCTTTCTCTTACAAGGACACTGGTCACTGGACACCCTAAATCCAAGCTGATCTTATGATCTTAACATAATCATATCAGCAGAGATCCTACTTCCAATAAGATTACATTCACAGGTCCTGGGGTTAGGACTTGAACATATCACTTTGGGGGACACAATTCAACTCACTACAAGTCTATATGGGTTATCTAAATAAAAAAAGACATAGAGAAATTTCTAAAAACTCAAGGAAACTATAGACTTTATTTGGAAATAAATAACTTTTACCATTTAGCTGAAAGATTTATCATATAAACTTTTTTCTTTTTCAATTTAACTGATAAGAATGGAATTTAAAAGGATGGAAAACTATTTTATGAAACTTTTTTTTAAAAAGATTTAATTTATTTATTTGACAGAGACACAGTGAGAGAGGGAACACAAGCAGGGGGAGTGGGAAAGGGAGAAGCAGGCGATGCAGCGCTCGATCCCAGGACCCTGGGATCATGACCCGAGCCAAAGGCAGACGCTTAACGATTGAGCCACCCAGGCGCCCCTATTTTATGAAACTTATAAGTAGGAAAATCTATTCTAAAATTTTACTAGTTCTTAAGTAACTAAATGTGCTCCACTGACGTCTTTCTTTGTCATCTGCTATGATAGATACTTGAGTTCACTATAAATGAGGTACTTTGATTATGTGAAAGTGGGTAGAAATAGATACTTTAGTTTTTTTTATTTATTTTTTTAAGTTTTATTTTATTATGTTATGTTAGTCACCATACAATACATCAGTAGTTTTTGATGTGGTGATCCACGTTCCATTGTTTTCGTATAATACCCAGTGCTCCATGCAGTACATGCCCTCCTTAATACCCATCACCAGGCTAACCCATCCCCCCATGCCCCTCCCCTCTAGAACCCTGTTTGTTTCTCAGAGTCCATAGTCTCTCATGGTTCATCTCTCCCTCCAATCCCCCCCCCCTTCATTTTTCCCTTCCTTCTCCTAATGTCCTCCATGCTATTCCTTATGTTCCACAAATAAGTGAAACCGTATGATAATTGACTTTCTCTGCTTGACTTATTTCACTTAGCATAATCTCCTCCAGTCCCATCCATGTTGATGTAAAAGTTGGGTATTCATCTTTTCTGATGGCTGAGTAATATTCCATTGTATATATGGACCACATCTTCTTTATCCATTCCTCTGTTGAAGGGCATCTCGGCTCTTTCCACAGTTTGGCTATTGCGGACATTGTTGCTATGAACATTGGGGTGCATATGGCCCTTCTTTTCACTGCATCTGTGTCTTTGGGGTAAATACCCAGGAGTGCAATTGCTGGGTCATAGGGTACCTCTATTTTTAAATTTTTGAGGAACCGCCACACTGTTTTCCAAAGTGGCTGTACCAACTTGCATTCCCACCAACAGTGTAAGAGGGTTCCCCTTTCTCCACAACCTCTCCAACATTTGTTGTTTCTTTCCCTGTCCATTTTTGCCATTCTAACTGGTGTAAGGTGGTATTTCAATGTGGTTTTGATTTGAATTTTCCTGATGGCTAACGATGATGAACATTTTTTCATGTGTCTGTTAGCCATTTTTCTTCTTCGGAGAAGTGTCTTTTCATGCCTTCTGCCCATTTTTTGACTTGATTATTTGTTTTTTTGGGTGTTGAGTTTGAGAAGTTCTTTATAGATCTTGGATACCAGTCCTTTATCTGTAGTGTCCTTTGCAAATATCTTCTCCAATTCTGTGGGTTGCCTCTTTGTTTTGTTGACTGTTTCCTTTGCTGTGCAGAAGCTTTTTATCTTGATGAAATCCCAAAAGTTCATTTTTGCTTTTGTTTCACTAGCTTTTGGAGATGCATCTTGAAAGAAGTTGCTGTGGCTGATGTCAAAGAGGTTACTGCCTATGTTCTCCTCTAGGATTTTGATGGATTCCTGTCTCACATTGAGGTCTTTCATCCATTTTGAGTTTATCTTTGTGTATGGTGTAAGAGAATGGTCCCGGTTTCATTCTTCTGCATGTGGCTTTCCAATTTTCCCAGCACCATTTATTGAAGAGACTGTCTTTTTTCCATTGCATGTTTTTTCCTGCTTTGTCGAAGATTATTTGACCATAGAGAGGGTCCATATCTGGGTTCTCTATTCTGTTCCATTGGTCTATATGTCTGTTTCTGTGCCAGTACCATGCTGTCTTGGTGATCACAGCTTTGTAATATAGCTTGAAATCAGGCAACGTGATGCCCCAGCTTTTTCTTTTTCAACATTTCCTTGGCGATTCGGGGTCTTTTCTGATTCCATACAAATTTTAGGATTGTTTGTTCCAGCACTTTGAAAAATGTCATTGGAATTTTGATCGGGATGGCATTGAAGGTATAGATTGCTCTGGGTAGCATAGACATTTTGACAACGTTTATTCTTCCGATCCATGAGCATGGAATATTTTTCCATCTTTTTCTATCTTCTTCAGTTTCTTTCATGAGTGTTCTGTAGTTCCTAGAGTATAGATCCTTTACCTCTTTGGTTAGGTTTATTCCAAGGTATCTTATGGTTTTTGGTGCTATTGTAAATGGAATCGTTTCTCTAATTTCTCTTTCTACAGTTGTGTTGTTAGTGTATAAGAAAGCAAATGATTTCAGTGCATTGATTTTGTATCCTGCCACATTACTGAATTGCTAGATGAGTTCTAGCAATTTGGGGGTGGAGTCTTTTGGGTTTTCCACATAAAGTATCATGTCGTCTGCGAAAAGAGAGAGTTTGACTTCTTCTTTGCCAATTTGAATACCTTTTATTTCTTTTTGTTGTCTGATTGCTATTGCTAGGACTTCTAGTACTGTGTTGAACAATGGTAGCGAGAGTGGGCATCCGTGACGTGTTCCTGATCTTAAGGGAGAGGCTCTCAGCTTTCCCCCATTGAGGATGATATTCGCTGTGGGTTTTTCATAGGTGGATTTTATGAACTTGAGGAATGCTCCCTCTATCCCTATACTCTGAAGAGTTTTAATCAGGAAAGGATGTTGTATTTTGTCAAATGCTTTTTCTGCATCAGTTGTGAGAGGACCATATGGTTCTTCTCCCTCCTTTTATTAATGTGTTCTATCACATTGATTGATTTGCGAATGTTGAACCACCTTGCATCCTGGGGATAAATCCCACTTGGTTGTTGTGGATGATCCTTTTAATGTATTGTTGGATCCTATTAGCTAGGATTTTGTTGAGGATCTTGGAATCCATATTCATCAGGGATATTGGTCTGAAATTCTTTTTGATGCGGTCTTTGCCTGGTTTGGGGATTAAGGTAATGCTGGCCTCATAGAATGAGTTTGGAAGTTTTCCTTCTGTTTCTATTTTTTAAAACAGCTTCAGTAGAATAGGTATTATTTCTTCTTTGAATGTTTGGTAGAATTCCCCAAGGAATCCATCAGGCCCTGGACTCCTGTTTTTTGGGAGGTTTTTGATCACTGCTTCAATCTCGTTACTGGTTATTGGCCTATTCAGGTTGTCAATTTCTTCCTGTTTCAGTCTTGGCAGCTTATAGGTTTCCAGGAAGGCCTCCATTTCATCCAGATTGCTCAGTTTATTGGCATATAGTTGTTGATAATAATTTCTAATAATTGTTTCTACTTCCTTGGTGTTAGTTGTGATCTCTCCCCTTTCATTCATAATTTTATTAATTTGGGTCCTTTCGCTTTTCTTTTGGATAAGTCTGGCCAGTGGTTTACCGATCTTATTAATTCTTTCAAAGAACCAACTTCTAGTTTCGTTGATCTGATCTATTATGTTTCTGGTTTCTAATTCATTGATCTCTGCTCTAATCTTAATTATTTCTCTTCTAATGCATGGCTTAGGCATCGTTTGTTGCTTTTTCTCTAGTTCTTTAAGCTGTAGAGTTAGTTGGTGAATTCGGAATTTTTCTGTTTTTTTGAGTGAGGCTTGGATGGCTATGTATTTCCCCCTTAGGACTGCCTTTGCAGTATCCCATAGGTTTTAGACCGATGTGTTTTCATTCTCAGTGGTTTCCATGAATTGTTTAAGTTCTTCTTTGATTTCCTGGTTGACCCAAACATTCTTGAGCAGAGTGGTCTTTAGCTTCCAAGTGTTTTTAATTTCTTCCAAATTTTTTCTTGTGATTAAGTTCCAGTTTTAAAGCATTGTGGTCTGAGAATATGCAGGGAATAATCTCAATCTTTTGGTATCGGTTGAGACCTGATTTGTGACCCAGTATGTGGTCTATTCTGGAGAAAGTTCCATGTGCGCTCGAGAAGAATGAGTATTCTGTTGTTTTAGGGTGGAATGTTCTGTATGTATCTATGAGGTCCATCTGGTCCAGTGTGTCATTCAATGCTCTTGTTTCTTTGTTGATTTTCTGCTTAGATGATCTGTCCATTGCTGAGAGTGGAGTATTGAGGTCACCTACAATTAACGTATTGTTATCAATATGACTCTTTATTTTGGTTAACAGTTGGCTTATGTAGATGGCTGCTCCCATGTTGGGGGCATAGATATTTACAATTGTTAGATCTTCTTGTTGGATAGACCCTTTAAGAATGATATAGTGTCCTTCTGTGTCTCTAACTACAGTCTTTAGTTTAAAATCTAATTTGTCTGATATAAGAATTGCTACCCCAGCTTTCTTTTGAGGTCCGCTGGCAGACCAGAAGATGGATCTCCATCCCTTCACTTTCAGTCTGGATGTATCTTTAGGTTCAAAATGAGTCTTTTGTAGACAGCATATGGATGGGTCCTGTCTTTTTATCCAATCTGCAACCCTGTGCCGTTTTATGGGAGCATTTAGGCCGTTCACATTGAGAGTGATTACTGAAAGACATGAATTAATTGTCATTATGTTGCCTGTGAAGATGTTGTTTTTATAGATTGTCTCTGTAAATTTCTGTTGTATATCACACTTGGGGTCTTTCTCCTTTTATAGGACCCTCCCTAATATTTCTTGCAGGGCCGGCTTAGTGGTCACATATTCTTTCAGTTTCTGCTGGTTGTGGAAGCTCTGCATCTCTCCATCCATTCTAAATGAAAGCCTTGCTGGATAAAGTATTCTTGGTTGCATGTTCTTCTCGTTTAGTACCCTGAATATGTCTTGCCAGGCCTTTCTGCCTTGCCAGGTCTCTGTGGATAGGTCTGACGTTATCCTGATGTTCCTCCTTCTGTACAGAAGGAATCTCTTCCCCCCTAACTGCCCTTAAGATGGTTTCCTTGGTTCTAAGATTTGCAAGTTTTACTATTACATGCCGGGTGTTGGCCTGTTTTCCTTGATCTTGGGAGGGGTCCTCTCTGCCTTTAGGACACGAATGTTTGTTTCATTCCCCAGATTAGGGGGGTTCTCAGCTACGATTTGCTCAAATATATCTTCTAGTCCTCTCTCTCTCTACACTCCCTCCGGGATTCCAATAATTCTGACATTGGAATGCTTCATGGTGTCACTTATTTCTCTGATTCTATTTTCATGGATTCCAATTTGTTTTTCCCTGGCCTCCTCTTTTCCCTTTTTATCTATTATACTGTCTTCCAGATCGCTTATTCTCTCTTCTGTCTCAGTTACCCTAGCTGTTAGATTATCTAGATTAGATTGGATCTCACTGATAGCATTTTTAAGTTCTGCCAATTCAGCTTTCATTTCTGCCTTTAGAGACTCTATGTTGCCATTAATTGATTTCTCCATGCTAGCTATTGTCTTCACAATTGCTAGCCTGAATTCCATCTCCGACATCTTGGTTATATCTGCATCCATTTGTAAATCTGCAGCATAAGTCATAATCTCTGAGTCTTTTCTGTTTGGGGGGCTCCTCCTCCTAGTCATTCTGTTAATGGGTGGTTGAGGGAATGTATAGAGTCCAAATTATTGACCAGAACCCAAGCAAGATGCACCTGTTTTCTAGGGACCTCAGGGTTGCTGGCCTCTTGTTTTCCCAGCCTGTCTTCTGGGGGAGGGGCCTGCCGCACTGTTACTCAGGCAACCCTGTTTGGGCAGAGTTGCCCTGCCCCCCTGTGGTGGGGGATGGGCTCAGTGGGAACCAGTTTTGGGGGGCTTTTGTTCTCTGGCGGCTTTCCTGGGCAGCTTTCCACGTCTCTTCCATGAGTCAGAGCAGAAGAGACTGTTTCCCACCCTCTTCCTCAGAGCAGAGAGACCTCAGTCTGTTCTTTAGTGAGCTCTCCAGGCCACACCGTCTCTGTTTCTGTCTGTGATGCTATAAACTGTGGCATCCTGGGTTGTGTGCCCCTCTGCAGCGCCCCCAGTCCTACCTCCAGGTCGGGGCACATCTCTGCCCTTTGTGCTTCTAAAACTGCCAGCCACTCCCAGTTCACACGCATGAGCCCACCGCTCCGGGTTTCTGTCCCAGGGGCTGCTCTAAAGTCCTTTCCCCGCCGCTACCGTTCTGCGAGTCTGTGCCCCATCTGCAGCGCATGAGGCTGTCGCTCACCGGTGGTGTAGGATTCCCACAGTCAGGTTCCCTCCCACTGCGGTTTATCCTCCCATATCTGCCCACGGAATCACAGCTCCCTGCTTCATACCTCGAAACCAACTGCTCACGATATTCTGTTTGTAGAGATCCAGATCACATCTCAGGCTGATTTCGTGGGTGTTTAGAGTGGTCTGGTAGATATCCAGCTCAATTCTGGGACTGGTTGCAGTAGGGTCCCCTACTCCTCCACCATCTTTTCTCCCACACCTGAAAGCATTTTCATATAGAAAATGAAAGGCTGTTTCTTAAATGACTCTTATCTAGATGTCTTTCCTGATATCACAGCATCATTTTATGAGCATTGTGAGATCCTCACCAATGCAAGGCAGTGCTAATCCCCACTCAAAATTTGGCAAAAACAGAAGGAGTTGCAGGAAGGACTTTTCCAGACACTGCTCTGAAAAGAGTCAGGCCATCTTCAGAGCCTGCGTGCATCAGAGCCCGCCCACACCTGTCTGCTTCCCGCTGCTCTGGCCTTCCTGGGGTGGGAGGGAGAAGCATCTCCCTCTCTGCCTGGCCCCTCCAGCCATCCCCTCCTGCCGCATGGGGGCCGCTCTGCCCAGAGCCTCTCTCTCCCTGCCCTGTGGTCTCTGCTGTTCTCCATCAGCCTGGATGCATGTTCCCTGGAGCCTAACTATGTGAACAGGAACCATCAGCATGTACTTGACCTACTTCTGTAATTGGATTTATGTCCCACATTGTACTCAAGCTGGTTCCTGGAACGTTAGCACCACCAGCCCAACTCCCTCACCTCCTGGCCTCTTTCCCGCTGTTTCTCATCTCTTGAAATCCTTTGCTCTCATGGCTTCTGGCCCTCATGCTTCTCTGCATGTTTGCTTCTTCCTGCACCCATCCTACTCATCTCCCCCACATCACAGGTCACCTCGATGTCACGCACCTCGAACGCTGGCCCCTTTCCTGCTTCCTGAGTGCGGTACAGCTGGGGCTCTCCTCAAGCACCGGTGGTCACTTCCCCGCCCATGGGCTTCTCGGGGTGCAGCGCCCCTTTCCAGGGTGGTTTTCCCTGGGGAGACGCCCACAGACGTGCTGAGATGTTTGTTCCTGCTTTCTCTCCGTGGTTTGGGATCTAGAGAGATTCAGGGGGTATGTGACCAACATTTGCCTCCAAGAATTACATTTTTTATTAGCACATGGTTTATATACGGGGCATAAAGTAGTTGTCGGTTCACCTGTCTGAGGAGTTTTTTGCAGGTCTTTGTGTGGACACTGCGTTTCTCTTGGGCTGACATGGAGAAGCGAGGCTGTGGGTCTGTGGGCTGGCATGGGCTTAGCTTCACCGGAAACTGCCAGCAGGGGTCCATGCTGGCTATACCACTGGCCAGTGTGGCATCGAGTCTTTGGCACCCACACACGTGCACAGATGACAGTGATGGGAGCACGCCGAGTGGGGCGCGGCTCCGGTAAGGGCAGCCACCGCGTGCCGGCGAGTAGCTCGGACTGTGACGTGAGCAGCTGTGTGCCCTGGTGTCCTCGTCTGCGGAGCAGGGACGGTGATAGCTGTGTCTTCAGAGGTGGACAGGATGACACGTCCGTGTGCGGTGAGCCTGTGCCGTCCTCGTTAACCTCCCTGTGTGATGATCAGACATGACAGGTGCCAGAGAGCTGTGGCCCTTGTGGGTCCCCTTGGTCGCTAAGCCGAACGGCAGATGCAAGGAGGGTCCTGAGTCCCAGGAAGCCCTCCAGCGCTATTCACGAGAGCGTTCCACGTGAACGTGTCCTGCAGGGAGATCGGTGGAGCGGTGAGGCTGGTGCTGAGTCGTCGCCGGAAGGGCAGTGAGTCCGAAGAGGCCCCGAGTCCTCTGTTGACAGTCGAGGTCATAGGCGGCCTCACAGAACAACACACAAGCTTAGAGTCAGAAAAACCTGGTTAGAACGTCGGTGTTGACGCCCGAAGTCCATACCGGTCACGTACCCTCCGTGTGTCCTGCTTCCCCGGCGTGAACATGAGGGTACCTGGTGTTCGTCTGTGACATGAGCTGTAGGCGGCGATGAACCGCACAGTGTGACCGTTGCTGGGCCCGGGGCAGCAACAGTGGTCCACTTTGGGAACTGTTAGGAGCTGCTTTTCAAACAAGCACATCTGGATCAGAAGAAAAAATCCATACTTTTGATCTCTCCACTCCAAGGTACATATGACACCTACTTGTAGACTTTATTTCAGGAACCACCGTTTACCAATGGCAGGATCATCTGAAGTTCTAAATTTGAAGGGCTCATTTGTACATTAAAGTAGGTTTTTTGTGGAAAAGGAATCCCCTAGATGTCTTGCTTCTGCTGCGATGTGGCATTTCCCTTTATTACCAGTAAAGTCTAGAAATACTTGTTTGCACATTTTGTTACTTAAAAATGTGAATGGATCTCGCATCAGCATGGTATCCAAGCCCAGATTTCTGTCCCTAAAATGAAGTGTCTGATGGCGTCTGTGTGTGTATTTACACACATACACATCTTCTCATCTGGTCATACAATTAGAGAGGAATGTAAGTTCTTCCCAACAGCCATAGAAGAAGTTCAAAATACCTGAATTCCAGGCTAATTAGTAGGAAGCAGAGCGCAGGCGGTTTGTCTCAAGTTGATGGGACAGGACAGTAAAAGCCCTCTTTTCACCCAGTTTGGGACGTGCAGGTCAGGGGGGACTGCGGAGCCGGTGAAGACCCGACCAGGCGAGGGGGAGACGCAGGCGTCGTCGGCGGCCGCGGGAGCCCTGCGTGCGCGCGTTTCAGCAGGCGGTCCCGCGTGTTTGCCGCGCGGGCGTGCGTGTACGACGGGGCTCGGGCGCGCTGTCTCCCAGGCGGGCTGGACGCACGGGCTTCAGCCCGTCAGCCCCCGTCCTCTCCCCGTGGGCGGCGCCCGCACCCGCACCAGGCTCTCCGCGCCTTCTGTATCTGCCGCCTTTGGGTGGGCGACGTGCGCTCACGGTGACGCGCGTTTCCAGGGCGGGCGGGCCGCGGGCGGGGCGCGCAAGCGTGCTCCCCGTGAACGTGCTCGTCGCTCAGCGTGGCGTGTCCCCGGGCGCAGCGGGAGCGCCGCAGCCGGCGAGTCCCCGAGCGGCCGGGAAGAGCCCCACGCACAGAATGAGGGCGGGGAGCAGGGAACGCGAACGCGAGCCACCGTGTGAGGAGGAGGCCCGGCGCGGAGCGGGTCGCGGCGGCGCACACGGCCCACGCGGGAAGCCGTGTGGTCTTGCCCGAGGACACCGACTGCGGAAAGCCGGTGGCGTGAGCGCCCGCGGCGTCGACTGGGGCGGAGCGTTGTGGCGCGGGCGCGCGGGGGCCGTGGGGACGCGCTGCGCTGCCCGGTCCGCCGCCGTCAGGCGCCTCGGGCGCTCGGGCACGTCTGGCCTCCGGGGACACGGACGTCGGCGGCGCGCGCGCGCCGGGCTCGTCCCGTCGCGGACCCCGGAGGCCGTCGCGCGGCTCGGCCCCCGTCAGCCGTGAGGGAGCCGTGCAGTCCGCTGCCGCTGGGCGTTCGCCCTCACGTGTCCGCGCGTGTGACTCCGGCTCGCCACCGCGCCACGAGGCCGTGCTGCGCGGGCCGCGGGGCCCGCCCTTCTCCCCGATGGCGCCAGCGAGGGCCGCCGCTGCGCTGCCGCTTGGCTCCCGGCCTGACGCGGCGCGGGTGAGGTGACGGGCGCCCGGGGGCAGCGGCGCAGAGCGGGCGCCGTGAGAGGTGCGCGGGGCGGGGCGGGGCGCGCCGTCGCGCTTCTGAAAGCTCGGGGCTGGCCTGGCGCCGTCTCCGGCGCGACGGCCCGAGAGCCGCTCTGCGCCCTGACGGCCTCCCGCTCGGGTGGGACGAAGACGGGAGGGGAGGAGCAGGCCCCCGTCGCCGGCCCCTGGCGCGGCGCGGGCCGGCGGCCGCGCAGGACGGGCACGAGCGCTCGGGCGCTAACGGGCAGCAGCGCGGCCCCCGTCACGAGAGCGCCGTCGGCCGGGGGACGCTGATGCCGCGCGCGGAAGTCGTCACGACAAGGCCCCCGTTGCACAAGTCCCGCGTTTCCGAGCACGGTTGTCGGGAGGATCCCCGTGACGCGTCTTCAGCGGCGGCCTCCGGGTGGGCTTCCAGGGGTCTGCTTTTCAGTGCTACGATGTCTGACTTCCGGCCGCGCTGTCCTTCGCTGACGTTTCCGAAACGGGAGTGAAACCCGAGCCTCCTGCTTCAGGTGTGTGTCTCCGCTTCCCAGCGGCCCCGCGCCCGTCGACCGGGGCCCTCGACTCAAGCTTCTGTTCTAGGAAACGTATTAGACGGCGCACCAGCACCGCAGTCTGATGTTTTCACGTGTAGAAAAAGACGTCTCTGGGTCGCAGTCACGCCAGCGTTCAGCCGGTACCGTGCGAGCCCGTCGGCGCTCGACGCCGCGTTTGGGCGCGGAGGATGGCCGGCGCGGGCGGGCGGGCGAGGACGGCGGTCTGCGTCTCCGTGTCCGGGCGGGAGGTGCGGCGCGCCGCGTGCGAGCCGGGCGCCCCCGCGAGGGAAGACGGGGCGCGGGCTTCCGCGGGCGTGCGGCGGGGGAACGGGCGCGGGCGTGCTGGGGCCTGCGCGCCCTGGGCCCGCGCTCAGCGCCGCGGCCGCGCTGGCGTCCCGCCCCCCTCCGCCCGCTCCCTCGCCCTCTTAGGTCTTCGTCGCGGATTCCGGGTGACCCCCCTCGACTCGACGCACGCCTGCGCAGATCAGCCGTCAGCCTTCAAGCTGTCTTCCCCGGCCCTGCGGTCAGCGCCCCCACGGTGGCTCCTGTGCTGAGTCGTGCCCGGGACGGTGCTGGACCTGCAGGTCCAGGCAGGAAACCCCCGGTGCCCACGCCTGCTGAGGGCTGGCTGCCGCGCTGCCCAGGGCCGCGGCCTCGTTAGGGCGGGAATCACGGAAACCCCGCAGACTACGCGCTAGTTTTGTCGTATCACATGTGGGAAGGTAATTTGAGGAGGGCCCCTGTCCAAAGTGGCCGGCGTGGTCAGAGGCGGTGACACCAACCTTACGCCGGGGACGCTGCCTGACTTTTGGAAAAGCAGGACACAGGTTACTTGACTGGGTTTTTGTTAAATAAATTCTGAGCAATATCCCCTCTAAAAAGCAAAGTTTGGTCCCCTCAGAATGCTACTAGATATGGTCAAAGAAGTAGGGTCTTTGGCCAGTGCTATTGCTCCATTACCAAAATAAGACTTGTGAGTCCTTTGGAAGAAGATTGTATTATACAATACAAAGAATATGAAATTATTCTCACGAGGCATGTGGCTAAGAGAGGACTCTGAAAATGAGCGGGAATCCTGACAGCTCACGAAGGAGTGTGGGTTCAGACCCCAGAGACCATGGCAGCGCCTTAGGTCCTGCTGGGAAATGTAGCCGAGTCCCCGTGGCCCACGCTTGGCTCGAAGGCTGTGCCATCAGCTTGCGCCCCTGGTATACTTGTAATAAGACACGTCCATTCAGATGTTTAACTGTTTAGGGTCGGAGCGAACATCCGGAAAGCACCCCAGTGACATCATCCTGGCTGAGACTGTGGCCAAGAGGTATGAGGAATCCAAACCAGGCGTTACAGAAGAGAGAGGACTGGGGTGTGAGCAGATGGGTTCCTGGTTTGAAGGATGGGGGCCTACCAGCCACAGGAGAAGTTTAGGAAGGAAGGTTGGGGAAATTGTGAAATTGTGGTGTAGCCATGGAGGAAGGCTGCTCCATAAGACAGAAATAGGTGGAATTTGTTGGAATGTAACAAAAAGTCACAATTATAATATTTTCATCATGTTATCAAACTTACCTTATGTTAGTATCATAATCATCAATTTTGATGTAAGATAATATAAAAGCTCTTTCTTATTGATAGTGGGCAGTGAGGCTGTATTTCCCATTTTACAATTCTGTGTCGCGTGGGGCTTGTTTGGGGAAGTTTTGCTCGGGTCTTCCTGGCCATGCCGGATTGCATTTAGACCGTGTCTAATGCTGCCTTAGAACACAGGTGGAGCATGGAGCGCTCCAATAGCATGTGTAGACAAGAAGTAGAAGAAGGCAGGTACATGTGTTCAGGGTCCAGGCTACACAGCATGGTTCAGGCTATGACTCAAAATACCCCAGCAAGGGAAGAAAGGAGGACCAAATGTGGAAAGTGTGCAGGATGGCATGGTGACTATTCTCCTCCTAGGCCCACAGCCCCTGGTGTGGAGAAAGAGAAGGAAAAAGTTAAGAAATGGAAATCTGAGAACTTCTTGTTTTCCTTTAAGATCATGAGACTTCACAGTGGACATTTAGGCTGTTTCCAGTATCTTGGTATTATAAGTAATATTCAGATGCACATCCTGAGTGTGCAGTGTTTTCTATGTCTGGATTTATTTTCTCAAGATAGGTTATTAAAAGTAGTGCTACTGAGTAAAAGAGCAAAAACTTTGCAAGCGTTCTAATATGTACAGAGAAATATTTTTCAGAATGTTCCCCATTGCTTGTTTCCTTACCAGGTTAGATTATTGACACTTTCAGTATCTTTGTTAAGTTCATTATCAAGAAATGGTACCTATTACTTTAATTTGCCTTTTTAAAAATATTATGAATATTGTACATTATTCCATATGCTATTAATTATTGGAGTTTTTTCATTTTAAAATTGTTTGTTTATATCCTTCATATCTTTATCTTTTGGACCCAATTTAAAATTGACTTTTTGGGGGCGCCTGGGTGGCTCAGTTGGTTGGGCGACTACCTTCAGCTCAGGTCATGATCCTGGGGTCCCGGGATCGAGTCCCGCATCGGGCTCCCTGCTCAGTGAGGAGCCTGCTTCTCCCTCTGATCCTCCCCCCTCTCATGTTCTCTCTATCTCATTCTCTCTCTCAAATAAATAAAATCTTTAAAAAAAAATTAAAAAAAATAAAATTGACTTTTTGTCCTTTGTATTTACAGTATTTTCTTGTAGATTCAGTTTTGCTTTTTATTTTGTTGTTTTCTCTTTCAAATATAAAACTAGGATTTCTTCTAATCACTCTAGGCCTAGAAAGTTTTTTCTCTTCAAAATTTATCTCTCTGATGAAATTATGGTAGAATCTTTCACATAAGATTGTAATTTTTAAGTTCCCTGGCTGACAGTTCCAGTATCTAGGTTATATCTGAGTCTCATTCTGTTGATTGCTGCGTCTCTTGACAGTTGGTTCGCCTACCTTTCTTTTGATGTGTTGTAATTTTTGAATGAATGCTGGATGTTGACTGTGGAAGGACATAAGGATGCCAGGACAAACATGTCTCTTTCTGCTAGGCTGTTGGTTTGGTAGGGTTAGGAGTTGAGCCAGGTGCCATGCGCTTTAATTATTAAAACTTTGGTTATAGTAAGTCATTAGAATCGGTACAGATCATTATACAAATAGAAGCATGCAGACAATATTGTATTCTCCCCAAGTCATCTTTTGTCAAACCTTTTAGAAAATTTTATTTACTAAAGCATATGAGGATGAAATCTAAATCTACATGTTTTAAATAGGCCACCTTACTTTGAGAGTTGTGTTTGGCTCTGCCAATGAAAAATAACCTAAGTCTATATCTGGGAAAGGGTTATTTTCCTTGTTTTTTAAATTGAATAAAAGTTTGCTGGCTCCCCACTGGCTTCTCTTGTGGTTGGAATTAATACACAGGTGAAGTATGTCAAGCCCACAGTATTAACAGTTTGCTATGAATTTAGGAATATTCTGAGAATAATATTTTAGGTATTTGTTATGTTTTAAGGATTTTGATATATTAAAATATTTGATTCCAGCTTGAAATATGAATTGACTTAGATTTGTGACTTTTTAGTTGAGAAAAATGAGAAGATTTAGTTGAGAAAAAATGAGAAAATTTCATTCAGTTGGGAATAGCATATGAATTT